CTCAGAAGGGAGAAGCGTTCGTGTAACAGCTAACTGTCCGTTGGTAGCCATGTGCTGTGAAAGATGAGGACCTAGTGGTGCCACCAGGACAGTAGTAAGTCCTTACACCCAATGTGGGCATGGCGAGTGCTCATCAAGATTTCCGATTCTCTCCTTCTGAGCACATATCCCTCAAAGTTATATGTATCCTAGTGACTTGCTTTGGCCAATGAAATGTGAATGGAATGATGTTTGTCAATTCTGGGGGAGAGTAATTTAGAGCCAGCACGAGTCTCCATGCTCTCTTTTCCTGTCACTGTGAACCTGAAGCCTGATATTGAGGTGGCAGTGGAGATTCTGCAGTTTGGGACTCAAAGTGTCTACCGCCAACAGAGTCCTCCCTTCGAAGAGTCCTCCCTTAGAACTCTCTCTTCAACCTGAAGTGGGCCTCGTTTTATGCACTGGGATTTGGGGTTGGTTGTTACAGCAGAAGCCCAGCCTATCCTGACTATAGCATCCCTATAATAAATCAGGTTCTTTCCCATACATTAATGCACATGAGGACCACTGCAACTCTGTGAGTCTCATTGTACAGATGAGGACACTGAAGCTCAGATTCAAAAACTGATTTCCAAGCTGATTTAATGGATTCCAAAATCGCTTCTCTTCCCACTATACTATGTTATCTTCTCCTCTGAAGAAGATTCAGCTTGTATGTTTCTCTGGATCCTGTGGGCCCTGCAGCCCTTGTTCAGCAACTCTAGCTTGTTCGAGTTTCAGTTGTTGTGGCCTACTGCCTCACTGGCCTTATGATTCGACAAGGGAATCGGAGAAAGAAGCAAGCACTTATTTCGCCCTGCAAAGCGAGTTAGAGAGCAGGCACACCATGAACACGTGGAGGAGCAGAGCATGCGCATCCGTGTGAGGTCAGGAGGGCGTGAGGGAGCCTGGGGCTGAGCAGTGCAGTCCGTGTCCAGGGAAGCCTGACAGTCAGCAGGGGGAATGTCAGGTTGGACTGGGTCCTGGAAGACTTGGGTTCCAGGCCTGGCTCGGCCTGCCTTGGTGACTCACCTTTCTGGGCCCACCTCCCAGCTGTGGAATAAGCATTTTGGATTCCAACCCTGCCTGCACATTAGCACCACCTGGGGAGCTTTAAAAAGACAAATCTCCACCCAGCCTCAGAGATTCTGATTCAGTGGATAGGGGCAGCACACAGGCCTCTGTAGTTCTCAACAACTTTAAAAGGACACTGATACACAGGCAGCTTTGGGCGTCACTGCACTAGACCATTCTAGGGCCACCTTTCTGTCGTTTCAGTGCCTGGGATGTGCCCTCACTATGCGTCTGTTTTGGCCAAAGGTGTTTTAGCTCTCCCTGGAGTCCACCCCAGACCTCTGGGGAAATGTGTCTAAGGCCTGTGCCAGAACTCCAGGAGCCACTCAAAGTCAGAGACTCCAGAGGGACCGTGGGATTCCACGGGGCTTCAAATCCACTTCCCAAGCTATGCCATTGTGAAGAAAGTGAGACGAAGAGTCAAGGAGCTGGGAAAGTTAGTAAGCAAAAGCTTTCCCTCAGACAGCACCTACACTTTCATGGAAAACGGCCCTTCTAGACCAGAGCAGTTTCATCACAAAGCAGGTCCCTGGACATAGCTCGCTCTTTAATCCCATCCACCAGGCAATGCTTTCCTGGCCTACACATAACTAGCCAGCCTAATGCAAAGCTTCTTCAGATTTTCCTCTCAATAGACCCCTGCCCAGGACTTCTCTGCCCTTTAGAGCTGTCATCCTGACACTGGCAGCATTAGCTGTGGGCTTGGTTGAAGAAGAAACTGTAGCGATGCCAGGGAATCAGCAGAAAGACCTCCAGCTTCCCCACAGCCTCTTGGCAGAACTCAGGGTGGCCTCTTGGCTGATGTGCTGCAGCCAGGCTGCTGGGTACTTGCCTGGACCTAGTGCCAGGCCCCACAGCAGAGGGCAAGGTGTGTGGCTGCCTTGGTTGGCAAGTACATTCCAATTCCGGAACCTCACAGCCTCTATTCAGCTCACTGCCCTCTTCTGCCAATTCTAGCTCTAGTTTTTTTGTCCATTCTCCTCCTCCTCATTTTCCTGCCATGATTCTACTTCGGGTTGCTTCTTCCTCTTGCTTGGCTCCGATGTGATGGCATCCCAAATAATCTTCCCACCCGTGTTCTCTCATCCTCCAGCTTAGGATATGCAGTTATGCCAAGATGATCTCCCTAAGTCACAGCTCTCGTTCTGCCACTCCTAAACTAAAAACAAACAAAAAAATTTCCCAGATGTCCCATCATAGGTCAGGTTTTCTGGAAATAGAGTTTGAGCAGGAGAATCGCATGCAGAAAGTTTCCTGGGGAATCCTCTTGGGAGACAGACCTGTAAGGAAAACAGACCCCAGGAGGAAGCTGGCCCACAGGTGGTGGTACCTGAGGCCTCTGCTGGTTCTATGGGGAGTTCTGGACCTGGGATGGCCCTGCAGAGTAGTCCCAAATTGAAGCAAGTTTTCAAACACCAGCCAGTCATTGGTTACAGTCTACCCCACCCCACAAAGGGGCATATTCTCAGGCAAGATGGCTCCCTACAGCCAAAGGCAATGCTTAGTGGGAACACAGCTCAGAGACATCAGCAGATGACGCTACCAGCATCCAGAGCATGACTCTGTGGACCCTGAGCAGGGCTCTAAGAAGGGGACCCCATTATCCACTTCTATTTCCTCATCTTGGCACTCATGCCCACCTCCCATTCTGCTATAAAACCCGCCCCTCCCTTTTTTCTCTTTTGTCTTTCTTGTTTATTATAGTACAAATATATATAAGTTTGCCATCATAACCATTTTTACATGGATAGTTAATTTACAGTGTTCAGCATCCATTTCCAGAACCTTTTCATCACCCCAAAGAGAAACTCCGTAATCATTAAGCAGAAACTCTCGCTCCCCACTTCCCCTAGTCCTGGTTACCTCTAATATACTTTCTGTCTCTATGAATTTTTCTAGTCTAGATACTTCATATGTGTGGGATCATACAACATTTGTCCCTTTGTGACTGGCTTCTTTCACTTAGTATAACATTTTCAAGGTTCACCCATATTGTAGCATGTATCAGAACTTCATTCCTTTTTATAGCTGAACAATATTCCATTGTATGGATAAAATCTGCTTTGTTTATCCATTTATTAATTGACAGGTGGGCTGCTTTCACCTTTGTATTGTCATCAATAATGGTGCAATAAACATTAACATTCAAAATATCTGAGTTTCTTCTTTCAGCTCTTCAGGATATACACCAAGAAGTAGAATTATTCCCTCCACTCTTGTAAACACCTAGGTTTCTGTTGAGCAAACCATTCACCAGCCCTGGACCATGACTCACGATTCTCTGCCTCCAGAGACCAGTATATTCTGACCTTTCCACCCAGAACCCCCTTCTTCTCTTCCACATCTCAAATTGTCTCCGTTTGTGCTAGGCAGAAAAAAAGTGCTCCCCACCAAAGATATATTCATTTCCTAATGCCCGCACCTTTGAATATTACCTTACATGACGAAAGTTGTGGTTGAGGTGAGCATCTTGAGAGGGGATTATCCTGGATTATCTAGTGGGTCCCGAGTGCCATCACATGTATCATTGTAAGAGGGGACAAAGGAGAGCAGGCAGACACACAGAGAGGAGAAGGCAACGTGAGGGCAGAGAGACTGGAGTGGCGCAGCCCCAAGCTAACAAACACCAAGGACTGCCAGCCGCCACCAGAAGGTAGAAGGGACATGGAACAGACCCTACTGTGGAATGCCTGGGTTGTGAAATCTTTAAGCAGGCATGAAGACTTATGTGCCACAGTATCTCATTTAAATTCACATGTTAAGTATTTAGCACGAGCCAGGCTATGTTCCGGAGACCAAGCCCTCAGTGTGAAACACAACCATTTTTTCAGTTTTTAATTGGTAAGTAATTCATTTGATCATTTACTCTGTGCCAGACACTGTTTTGGGCTCCAGGAATACAATGGTCAACAAAATAAACATCTCCTCGTTCTTGACACTCCTCAAATAGTGCTTGTCCTCATGAAGGAGACAAAAAATAAACACATCTACATATATTTATATGTATTTCATGACAGGGAACTATCAATGTTATAAGGAATTTTAGAAGCAAGGTACAAATACGTGCTCATTATAAAAAAGAAATAGAAAGGATGCGGTAAAAACTGAAAGTGACTTCAGCACTGCCTCTGGTCCCACACTCCTCCAGAAGGAACCACTGTTAGCCGTGTGTATTCAGCACTGCCTCTGTTCCCACACTCCTCCAGAAGGAACCACTGTTAGCCGTGTGTATTCAGCACTGCCTCTGGTCCCACACTCCAGAAGGAACCGCTGTTAGCCGTGTGTACTCAGCACTGCCTCCGTTCCCACACTCCTCCAGAAGGAACCGCTGTTAGCCGTGTGTATTCAGCACTGCCTCCGGTCCCACACTCCTCCAGAAGGAACCACTGTTAGCCGTGTGTATTCAGCACTGCCTCTGGTCCCACAGTCCTCCAGAAGGAACCGCTGTTAGCCGTGTGTACTCAGCACTGCCTCCGGTCCCACACTCCTCCAGAAGGAACCACTGTTAGCCGTGTGTATTCAGCACTGCCTCTGGTCCCACAGTCCTCCAGAAGGAACCGCTGTTAGCCGTGTGTACTCAGCACTGCGTCTGTTCCCACACTCCAGAAGGAACCGCTGTTAGCTGTGTGTATTCAGCACTGCCTCTGGTCCCACACTCCAGAAGGAACCGCTGTTAGCCGTGTGTATTCAGCACTGCCTCTGGTCCCACACTCCTCCAGAAGGAACCGCTGTTAGCCGTGTGTATTCAGCACTGCCTCTGGTCCCACACTCCTCCAGAAGGAACCGCTGTTAGCCGTGTGTATTCAGCACTGCCTCTGGTCCCACACTCCTCCAGAAGGAACCGCTGTTAGCTGTGTGTATTCAGCACTGCCTCTGGTCCCACACTCCTCCAGAAGGAACCGCTGTTAGCCGTGTGTATTCAGCACTGCCTCTGGTCCCACACTCCTCCAGAAGGAACCGCTGTTAGCCGTGTGTATTCAGCACTGCCTCTGGTCCCACACTCCAGAAGGAACCGCTGTTAGCCGTGTGTACTCAGCACTGCCTCCGTTCCCACACTCCTCCAGAAGGAACCGCTGTTAGCCGTGTGTACTCAGCACTGCCTCCGGTCCCACACTCCTCCAGAAGGAACCGCTGTTAGCCGTGTGTACTCAGCACTGCCTCTGGTCCCACACTCCTCCAGAAGGAACCGCTGTTAGCCGTGTGTATTCAGCACTGCCTCTGGTCCCACACTCCTCCAGAAGGAACCGCTGTTAGCCGTGTGTATTCAGCACTGCCTCTGGTCCCACACTCCAGAAGGAACCGCTGTTAGCCGTGTGTATTCAGCACTGCCTCTGGTCCCACACTCCTCCAGAAGGAACCGCTGTTAGCCGTGTGTATTCAGCACTGCCTCTGGTCCCACACTCCTCCAGAAGGAACCACTGTTAGCCGTGTGTATTCAGCACTGCCTCTGGTCCCACAGTCCTCCAGAAGGAACCGCTGTTAGCCGTGTGTACTCAGCACTGCGTCTGTTCCCACACTCCAGAAGGAACCGCTGTTAGCTGTGTGTATTCAGCACTGCCTCTGGTCCCACACTCCTCCAGAAGGAACCGCTGTTAGCCGTGTGTATTCAGCACTGCCTCTGTTCCCACACTCCTCCAGAAGGAACCGCTGTTAGCCGTGTGTACTCAGCACTGCCTCTGTTCCCACACTCCTCCAGAAGGAACCGCTGTTAGCCGTGTGTATTCAGCACTGCCTCCGGTCCCACACTCCTCCAGAAGGAACCACTGTTAGCCGTGTGTATTCAGCACTGCCTCTGGTCCCACACTCCTCCAGAAGGAACCGCTGTTAGCCGTGTGTACTCAGCACTGCCTCTGGTCCCACACTCCTCCAGAAGGAACCGCTATTAGCCGTGTGTATCCTTCCTATCTTCTTTCTATGCAGTTTTATAAACCTTACAATCACCTCTATGGGGATTTTTTGAATAAACAGGACCATACTTTACGTTTTGCCCTGCATCTTAGCATAGAATTGCATGTAGAGTAAATGTTAGCTCTGTATAGGTTGATGAGTACTGAGTTTCTTAAACTTCTCTTTAAGTTTAAGAAACTTGAACTTAAAAAGGCCTACCCACCTAATGCTGAGCATCAGGGCCAGGTCCAAGGTTCTCGGCTTGAGAACAAGAAGCAGCTGGTTCTCGGCTTCTTCTGTTAATGGATGTGTGGCTAGGTGAGCTCCTTGGGTGCAGAGAAAAGGTGTGAACAAAGCACTCTTTGCCAGCCATGTGGAGGAGGTGGAGGTGGCACCTGCCCAGGGCACCAGAATCAATATATCCGTAGACAGTCTTTCTGCTTCTAGCCCCAGTGTTACACCATTTTGTTCTTTTTGGAGATGGAGAAGGGCCTCTTCGTGTTCAGAGTCTGTATTGAAGATTTGGGACAGCCCCAGGCCAGATCCCTAACCCTGGTCTGAGAGGTATCTTTCATTCCTTCAACAGACATTTTCAGATAGACTTAAGTATCAGACAGGGTGCCAGAACCTGGCCATGACGACTTCCAGAATAAACCCAGGAATGGAGCGGAGTGGCATATACAGGTAGCGGAGTGGCATATACAGGTACAGGAGTCCGCATCCCACTTGCCTCCTGGCTTCACCTGCCTTGAACACACCCAGGAAAGAAAACGATGGCTATGATGTCTGAGCTGCTGTGATGGATGCACTCATAGGTGAGTGGGAAACTTTTCTGCTCTTAAGTCCAGCCCTGTTCCAGGCTGTAGGAAAATTTTCTGTTTCCACCTATGCCTTTTGTTCTCGTTTCTACCATATGCCACAGCAGTGTTAGAAAGATTACAGTCTCTCTCCATGTGTGTGTGTGTGTGTGTGTGTGTGTGTGTATGCTCTCCATATGTTCTGTGTTATCACACCCATTGTAAGATGGAAAGATGAAGGCCCTGAGAAATCATTTGAATAGAATGGGACATTCCAAAAAGTGTTTCTCTGTCTCCAGGAAGCCTGTGTCTAAGTCATGGACAATAGCTGGGTGTTTTCCAGCTTTTAAATCTCTTCGAGGAAATTGGAACATGATTGAACCCATCCTGGACCAAATTCTAAAAAGACATTTTTGCAGACAAATTAGCTTCCTAGCTGTGTCACCTGAATTACTACTAAACCACACTGTCTCCTTCCATTGACCGCACGGCCCCAAATAAGAGATTTTGCCTTCTCGTCATTACTGAAAAATTTTCAACTTTTCTTCCAATTCATTCCTCATATAGGACTTACTTATATTAGATATTTGACAATGTAATTTTTAAAGGAGAAGTACAAGTCACTGTTAAAATGTATATGCCATATTTAATGATTTGTGTTCAATTGTTACTTTTACAAGTTTGCAACTTTTTTTTTCCTTTTTTCCTTTTGTGAAGTGGTACTCTGCAAGCCAGCTGATAGGCTTCTGAGTCAGTGTTGCTGTTTCTAATTATTGAATATCTAGAAGCAGCTCCAGACAACTGCTCAGTGTTAGTTTCCACCAGCAAAACCTGAGAGACAGAATTCTTGGTTACAAAATGCTGGAGTTAAGGGTTGAAAGACAACTTCCATTATAACCTCCTGTTTTCACTCACTTATAATTACCCAAAAATTGTCCTCTTGCTCCAAATCATTTCATGCTCTGTTTCCATCCCAGCGATGAAATTGCTTGGAAAGTTTGAACAAAAGTGGTTTAGCCAGTTTGGATTCAGGCAACTTAGGGAAGAATATCCTTTTACAACTGAAAAACAAATAATGTTTATCTCTGGCTATGGACAACCCAGAAGCAGCTGTCACCTTATAACATCGGTTCTCTTGTGTGGGTGGTTAGCTTTATCCCAGAAAGTGTCTATGAATGCAATGGAAATCCAGAATCTCAAAAGAAGAAATCAGAAGCGATGATGATATGGATTTGTGCTTTCTGCTCTACAATTTGGTGGCCAATAAGGGAGTGGGGCAGGAGGAGGAGGATTTACATTATATTACCTGCAGAATAAAGATGTCCTCTTTTCCTGGTATTAACTGTTTTGTTAAAAGTATGGGATCTAAGTTAAGGCACTCCTGAGTTTGAGTTTGGATTCTGCCCATGACTAGCTGTGCGACACTGAATTAGTAATGAAACCTCCCTTAGCTTTGGTATCCTCTCCATTAAAATGGGAATCATGATAGTAGCCACTGCATAGAAGTACACTGAGGATAAAAAAGGTACTGCATATGAAATGCTTGGCCCACTGTCTGGAGTAGCATGAGTGTGCAATGCAGGTTTCCTGGTAGCAGAGCAATGGTAGTAATAGAGAAATACACAGATATGGCTGTGTGTTGAATCTGTCAGTTGTGTTGACATCTAGGTTTTTGCCTTTCAGGATCCATTCCCAATTCCAGTAAGCACAATTCAGTTTTCATTTTAGGAAACCATTCCTTCCCAGGTTCAGCCCATGTGATTCATCCCTTGCTATCCCTCCCACCATTCCCGTGGGTGTATCTGGGACCTAATTCCAACCAAGTAGAGCTTGTGAATATCTGCTCCAGGATTTCTGCTGGAAAAGGTCTCTCCTCCTTTGGCTGGGGTCACTGGCCCACAAGGATGCCAAATTAGAATTCCTGGAAGTCACTTTTGGTCAACATTACCAAGAATTACTCGAACAGAGAGAAATGCAGACCCCGGGGATAGCAAGAGTCCTGAAGGTATCAACCGAGTGCCTGGGCCCTGCATACCTGGAGCTGGTCCTGTCTTAAGACTTTCAGTTTTGTGAGACTTTTTAACTTAAACCAGATTGAGTTGAATCTGTATTATTTCCAATAGTCCGCTTCAGAACAGAAGCTCAAGGCTACAAGCATCCAGCAGTGAGGCAGAACTCTTCACGATGTGTTTATAAAACACGTAATTTTACTGCCTCTACTTTGCTGGCAGCTTTGGACAAGTCCCTTTGCCTTCGGGGTCTCTAGGACCTCCACAGATAGATCAGGCAGAAGGGAGCAGTGGCTGCTGAAGTTGCGACATCCTGAGTATCTATGACTTGGAGGAAATAGAGCACTGGGGAATCACAGTCTATACGGAGGTTTTTGGTGACAGAGGAGAAATTATGCGTTTGTGGTTAAGGGTTAGAGTCTGTCTCACTTCAGAGACTGGTTTTGACTTTCAGCTCTACTACTTGCTGTATGACCATGGACAAGTGACGCAGCCTCTCTGAGACTCCTCTTCAATTGTAATATAAAGATATTAAGATTAGCTAGAGAAAGGAACTTTCTACTCTTCCTAATCTCGCATGCTCATTTTAGGCCAAAGATGAAGGGCTCCTGCTTTTCTACTGGATATAAAAGTCCTTGAAGAAATCCTTTGGCTTCCCCGTCCAACCTGTCACTTGCTTGTCCTCATAGGAGAGAGGTGACTAGTCTGATTGGCTAGATGAAGGAGAGTTATAAAACTGTACATGATGATTTTGTTTGTATCAGTTTCGTTTTGATCCATTCTTCTTTGTTTCGCTCAGTACTGCACTTTGCCATCCATCAGTGATGCTCTGTGTAACTCTGGTCAGTTCCTTTCAATTGCTGCACAGTGTTTCAGTAAACACGTAAATGGCCATAGAGAGAACGTCATGTGCCTCTCCATTTGTTCAGATACGTTTCTGCCCTGGACAAGGTGGATGGGACAAGGCGGACGGGTAAAAGCCTGACCTGTGCATATGTTGAAGTTCAGCGAGCCACGTGCTTCCAGGACCCATGGAATGAACCCCTTAAAAGAAGCACTGTCACCACAGGAGGTCCCCTTTCTTCAGCTTCTCCACCTTGGGAAGCATGGCTAAATCAGGTTGGCCCTGCTCTGTGGACTTGGACACCTGTAATTCAGGAAGGGAAGAGGGTAGAAAGGCCTCTATGTAGAAATGTTATGTTCTCCATTCCGGATCTGCCTCTTAAAAAGCAGTTACTGTGATCCCCACATGGCTCCTTGAGTCTCTTGTTAGGTTAATGAGAAAACGATTCTGGAACCTTCAGTGAGGAAGGTCCCTCCAACAAGACTCTAGAATTGCAAACCACAAAGTGAGAAGAGGGTGGATTTGACCACATCAAAATTAAAGATTCTGCTCAAGTGAACAGATGGTATTAGATTGGGAGAAACTACTCGTAACATTTCTGTTATAAAATGGCAGAAATTTCTCATAGTTCTGGAGACTGGGAAGTCCAAGATCAAGGGAACCAGTCTGGTTTCTGATGAGGACCCACTTCCCGGCTCATAGATGGCCAACTTTTGATTGTGTCCTCACATGGTGAAAGGAGCAACAGATCTCTCTCGAGTCTCACCTCTCCCATTACCTTGGGGGTTAAGATTTCAACATTTGAATTGAGGGGAGAGGGACATAAACATTCAGTCCATTGCGATATATAGTAAGCACTTACCCCTTCTGAGCCAGGCCTAAATCGTAATTCCTTTAAGATAAGCAATAAAATACCCATAAGAAATCTGAACGGTGAATAAGGAAACAGAGAGGAGCTAAACCTTTCTAGTAATAAGAGAAAGACAAATCAGAATAAGGCTTTGTATGAAGCACCCTGACAAAATTAGAAATCTGAACTATACCAAATGCTAAGAAGGATGTATGGAAATGAGACCCTTGTGCACTGGTGGGAGTATATAACGTACATACATTGGTACAAACGTTTGGAAAACAGTAGGAAAGTATAGTGAAACTGAGTATGTGAACACTCTACTCTCTGGGGCATAAACCCAGGAGTAGGACTGGCCTACAGGTAAGCAAGGAGACTTGTGCAAGAATGCCTGTCGTGGTGAAGAGCTGACGGCCATCTACGTGTTTACTGAACACTGTGCAGCAATTAAAAGGAACTGGCCAGAGTTACACAGAGCATCGCTGATGCATGGCAAAGTGCCGTACTGAGCAAAACAAAGAAGAATGGATCAAAATGAAACTGACACAAACAAATCATCATGTACAGTTTTACAACATACAAAATAATGCCACATAATTTCTGTGGATGTTAAGTGTAGAAATAAGCCTGTGGAAGGTGGATTTTCAAGGACCTACTAGAGAAAAAATAAGAACTTGGACTCTCTGGGGAAGATTTAGATCTGGGATAGTAGATGACAGGAGAAAAATAAACAAAAGACGTACCTTAAATGGTCTGTTTTACCATAAACTCAGATAAACGCAATTCTGCTCACCTGGGATTAGAAACCATCTTTATAAATCTACATATACGTCTTTTGAGACAGGGTTCCACTCTGTTACCCAGACTGGAGTGAATTGGAGCAATCACTGCTCACTGCAGCTTTGACCTCCCAGGCTCAAGAGATTCTCCCACCTCAGCCTCCTGAGTAGCTGGGAATACAGGTGCACACCACCACACCTGGCTTATATTTTTGTATTTTTTTGTAGAAAGGGGGATTTGCTATCTCTCCCAGGCTTATAAATCTATCCTTTACCAGAGCAATAAGCCCATAGCAGGTGCTCAATTCATAATTTGATAATTGTTTAATCTGTGCATTTTATCCTTCAGATTCTGGGCTTTCTAAGGAGTAGATTCTCTCTGAAACCAGTGCCCAGAGGTAAGGGTGATCCCTGCTTGTACGTAAGGTCATGGAGTAGAATGTCAATCCATCTCTAAAAGACATTACTGATTCAAAGAGGAAAGATTATCTGGTTAGAATCTTTGATTTTACTGAAGAGAAAGCTGAAGGACTGAGAGGTTCAGGGACCTGCCCAGGTCAGACAACTCACCTGCTGCATGATCAGAAGAGGACCAAGGCCCTCTAACTCCTTGTCCCCTGCTCCTTCCACCAGGCCATCTGCCATCAGCATTGCTTCTCCTAAGGGGAGCAAGATCAGCTTTCTGCGAATGCCCACATCTGGCTCTGCAAATTTGGGAAGGGCTGATCTGGCACTTTTGAACTCTGTATGGCAACCAGGAAAAGAACAGAAAAGTTCCCTAAAATACCACCCATTAAAAACTCACACCAAGCCAATCTCAAACATCCCAAATTCTACCTCTGGGAAACAGGTCTGTCATGTTGCTGTGGAAACACTATTGTTGAATGGAGCAGTAACCCCCTTTGAAGAACCAGTCCTGATGTGGCATTAGCCTTCGGCTTTGTATGTGATGCTGGTGAATGGGTAGTTATAGATCTGTGTCCCTTTAGTTAGTGGAGTGGCTAACAGGTGAGTAGGAGGTTGTTCCTTCCCAGCTCGAACCTGACTCCTTTCCATGCATTCTCTGTGGGATGCTCCACCCACTCCCCCTTGAGATTCCTCTTCTGAGCCCATTTCCCCAGAGTCTGATGCAAACACTCCACTGAGTGAGCATCTGGCTAAGGGTACCCTTTCCTCTGAGTCTATTTGACGTTAATTTCTCAAACTATTATTTTTGTTTTCAATTTTTAAAATCCGTTCCCTCAGGCCTCCTGGAAGCTGCTTTCTCCGAATTGTGATGCCGTGAGCGGGCAGCAGAGGGAGCCCATGCCTAACAATCTTCCCGCACAAAGTGTGCAGCCCAGGAGAGGCGGGTTGCAAGCATCCCTCGCAGCTGCACAATCCGAGATGCCTGGGGAGGCTGGGCCGGGCCAGTTCCTCTGTGGTCTGTGGTCAGAGATGGTTGTGTGCGCCAGCACTGTCGCGGGAGGCATTTCCTTTCTTTTTTCTGCTCTTCCCCGGCTGGGAAAGAGTTTGGGTCTCCAGTTCTCTTCACAAACGAACACCTCTTATTCAGATCTTCAAGGAAGATCTGTCTTCCCTGCCTGCCTTTGGAAAAAAAGGAGTTTGCGCTTTCCATTCCACTCCTCACTTAGCCCCTCCCAGTAACGCCTTAATTAATCTTGTAACTGCCGCCCCAAGCCTTCTCCTAGTGGAAAGGCACTGTTGATTTATTGCCTGAAGCCTTGAGATCATTTGGCTCCAAGACCCAGCTCTTCCAGAGCCTGAGTCAGATTTTTTTGAATTACAGAAGTAGTGGCAAATTGTCATACACAGAGGGTAGATGTGGTTTTTAGAAATAATCGAATGCCATTTGGCTCCAAATCCTTGAACAATGCAGGAAATAAAGCTGGAAATACAAATGTGCCAGCCTGGGGCCTGATATATGCTGGGTTCCGGAATGATGAGCATGCTACATCAACCTGGACCGTGAGAGTGGTTGAAGTCGTTATTTAATAAGTCCTGAGTATAGACTCATCAGATCATGTATCTTAGGTGGCCTTAAACCGGCTCCAAAGACAAATGTAAAAGGGGACTGACTATCCAAGGAAGATAAACTTCGAAGTAAAACTCCTGAAGGAGATGTTAGCTACATGGTTTGTTTATCCAAGTTCCACATTTATTAAAAAACATCATCCCTTATTATTTCATATTTGTTCTTCATATATACCAATCTCTCAACCTACAAATATTTCATGGGCTCAGAATATAAAAAGTTCCCTGAGGGCTGGGTGTGGTGGCTCACATCTATAATCTCAGCACTTGGGAGACCGAGGCAGGAGTTCAAGACCAGCCTGCCCAACATGGTGAAACCCTGTCTTTACTGAAAATACTGGGCATGAGTGGTGGTGTGCACCTGTAGTTCCAGCTACTCAGGAGGCTGAGGCAGAATTGCTTGAACCCAGGAGGTGGAGGTTGCAGTGAGCCAAGATCGTGCCACTGCACTCCAGCCTGGGCTACAGAGTGAGACTCCACCTTAAAAAAAAAAAAAAAAAAGTTCACTGAGGAAATAGGTCTAGAGGTCTTGGAGTTGAGTGGCACTGGCCGTGCATCTGCCGTGACAGTAGCTGAATGCTGACCACCATGTGTGTCCCAAGACAAGTCGTCGAATCTCTAGAGTCCCAGTTTCTCATCTTTAACATGGAGACCTCAGCAGCTCCTCTACCTACTTCTCCAAGGCCAGATTACCACCACAGACCTTTGCGTGTGTTTTGTGAACTTCAAAGTGCTGTAGATACATTGTTTCTTAGGTTACAGTGGTCCTTGTGCTTTCTGCTTTTCTCCATTGTAAGTTCCCTGAAGGCAAAGAATATGCCTCAAGTTCTTGGGCCACTGCCTTCTGTGCCCATGAAAAGTAACTTGGCAGGCAGTGGAGACCTCATACCTTCTCTTAACATCTTACGCAGGACCAGTTTCTGGGCTCAGGGCTCCAGTAGGCTCCGGGGCTTGCTGGGGGCACACACTACTTTCAATGGGCTGCCATCTACTGGGAATGAAACCAGAGGTGCCAATTGCACGAACATGTATTGAATGATAACTTTGGGCTGGGCACTCTGTTCAGAGAAGGTGTGAATATGCAGTTGAATCAGACATGATCTGCTCTCAAGGAGTTTACAAGTCAAGTCAATGGTATATACAACAGTCAATAATGCAATGCGCAGTGCTGAACGGTTTCTAATGGAGACACAGAATAATGATAATGTTACAAAGATGGAGAGATCAGGAAAAGCTTCACACAGATGTGGCCCTTGAGCTGGTCTTAAAGGATGAGTAGGACTTGAGTAACTACGGCTGGTGAAGGAGTCATGCCAGGCAGAGAGGAATGTCTGAGCAAAGATGTAGACAGCAGGTCATTTAAGAAATAGCTAAATCAGCTGAAGGTATGTGCAAGGTACAGAAGGAGAGAGCTGGGAACTTTCACTCTGGGGCCTAGCCATGGACAGCCTTGATTGCCCTGCCAAAAAGCTGGGGCTTATGTCAGAAGCGGAACTAAATCATAACAGCTACTTTGGGCAGATGGGCTGGGACAGGCCATCTAGGCTATTCCAGGGGCAGAAGTGAAAACGATGTTGCTAAGTCTGAGAGACTGGTAACCAAAGAAGGCAAACTCAAGCCGGTGCATGCCTGGGGCCCGGGTTTTCACTAGTGTAGCTGGTATTGCAAAGCCTCTATAGTCAATGAATACAAACAGAAAAGCTTTATTCTCCTTCAGCCAGACTGCAGACCAGCTCTGTGCTATTCCCAGTCCTTGCCTATTAACAGTACTCAGGCAAAGCCCAGAATATCTCACTTCGGTAGTTGCAAAGTCTGAACTAACACAAACTTACCAGTCACTTCTTTCTCTCTGCCTCTTCCTTCTTCCCCTCCTTCCTTTTTGGGGTCTTCCTTTTCTCTCTCTACAAGGGAACTGGGCCCTGGAAGAAGGATGAGAAGAGAGAGAAGTGCTCTTAACAGCATGGTGCTGTTGTTGCCTTCCACGTGGCAAGAACCAACAGGGTCTTCCTTTTCTCTCTCTACAAGGGAACTGGGGCCTGGAAGAAGGATGAGAAGAGAGAGAAGTGCTCTTAACAGCATGGTGCTGTTGATGCCTTCCACGTGGCAAGAACCAACAGGGGGCTCTTCTTAGTGCCTGCAGTGAGCCTTCAGGAGGGCCCATGGGGAACTCTGTTCTGCACAGTAACAGCTATGGGCAGTGAATGCTCTGCTTGACCCCTAGTTCCTGCCCATAGCAATTCAACCCATAGCCTCTTACTGCGGAGATCCCCTTGCCTTGAGAGTCCACTCTCTTGGCTTGGTACCTTCAGGATATTCTAAACACAGTTTTTTCCAGGGAATTCATTTGGCTCATAGAAAATGCCACATCCTGAGCAAACCAAGTACACAGAGGAGGGCGATGGGATGCAGTTCTCTCCCTTTCCTTCCCCACTTACACCTTCCCAATGGGCCCCTGTCCTCAGAGGTCTCTGTCAAGAAGAGACATCCATCTTGCCCCCCCACCTGGTAGCCCAGGCCCTTCCCAGAACTCCCTCCCCACCCTCTGTGGCAAGGTGGGGCACTGGGTTTCTGCTGCTGGGCAAGCATGAGCCAGGATGCCAGGCACCAGCCTCCCCATTATGTAGGTGTCCACACCCACTCAATGAGTGGCTCTTTTCTGCTCCCTTCATTTGCCACGGGGTTGGGGACCCCTCCCTCTTGTGGTATACCCTGAAGGGGTAGGGTAAGTAAAGCTGAGACTCAACTCCCCAAGTACTCCTTATTCTAAGGGCTTCTCTCCTTAAATTGCAGTCTTCTACGAACATAGGCTCAAGAAGAGGAATAAATCGCAGAAGGAGCTCATCTATCTTCATAACTGTATAGAACAGGAGGGGACCTCGTGCCCTCACCTTGGGGCTTTAGCCAAAGTTAAAAACAATGGAAAATTCTATTTGGTATTTTAGTTCATTAGTGAGGCTTTGTAGCAGTTTTGCAATCTAAGTACTTATGATTTGGGGGCAGATAATTCTTTGCTGTGGGCCCTCCTGTGCATTATAGATGTTTAATAGCATCCCCAGCCTCCACCCACCAGAACTCCCCTAGTCATGACAAATGTCTGCAGATATTGCCAAATGTCCCTAGGGGTGGGGAACGACACGCTTGCTCTGGTGAGACTGCTTTTTTTTTTTGAGACCGAGTTTCACTTTTGTCACCCAGGCTGAAGTGCAATGGTGTGATCTAGGCTCACTGCAACCTCTACCTCCTGGGTTCAAGTGATTCTCCTGCCTCAGCCTCCCAAGTAGCTAGGATTACAGGTGCCTGCCACCACGCCCAGCTAATTTTTATATTTTTAGTAGAGATAGGGTTTCACCATGCTCCTCATGATCCACCTACCTCAGCCTCACAAAGCGCTGGGATTACAGGCACCAGCCATCGTGCCCAGCCTGAGACTGCTTAATAAAGACTAAAGCAAGTCATTTAAAGTTTTTGAGCAAAAAAGCAGTATACAATTATAAACAGATATTTGGTTGATTTCAGAGAAAGTTTTTGAGCAAGAAAGCAATATAAAATTATAAACAAGGGCCGGGCACGGTGGCTCACGCCTGTAATCCCAACACTTTGGGAGGCCGAGGCGGATGGATCACGAGGTCAAGAGATCAAGACCATCCTGGTCAACATGATGAAATCCCGTCTCTACTAAAAATACAAAAAAAAATTAGCTGGGCATGGTGGCGCATGCCTGAACCCAGGGGGCGGAGGTTGCGGTGAGCTGAGATGACGCCATTGCACTCCAGCCTGGGTAACAAGAGCAAAACTCCGCCTCAAAAAAAAAAAAAATTATACACCAATATTTTGTGGATGTCACTGAAGGGTATAAAAAGAAACGGCCAAGGCCGAGAAATGCTCACTGGGCAGATGACATCTTTTTCACAGTCTTTAATAGTGTACAAAGTGCCATCATTAAATTATCTCACTTAACTTTCACACCAAGCATGTGAGGAAGGGCGGGCCCACACTGCAGGGGTGAGTTGTCGGCATGGTGGATGGGGGCTAAGGTGCGCATTGCTCTCAGGTTAGATAGGGTGTGGGGAGGAGTTAGGTGTAGGGTGGGGCTTTTCCCTGGAGTCTGGACCTCTTTCCAGAGCGGGAATCCCGTAGAAGACACTCAGATGAGTAATAATACTCATAATAATGGTGTACTAAAATTAATTGAGAGCTCACCACGTGCCAGATGCAGCCCTGTGTCCAGTTCATAGATCACCTCATCTGCTTCTCTCAACAGGCTCCTGTGGACAGGTACTATATTTTTCACAGTTTACAAAGTAGAAAACGAAGGTCTAACAGGTTAAATCACTTCCCCAGGGTTACTCAGTGGTCAGATGGGATTTTAATGGAGGCCGGCTGGGCTGACTCTGAGCCCGTGTTCATAATTACGGCACCTCCCTTCCTGCATTTCCTCAGATCTGACTCATAGGCGGTCTCCACAGTCACTAGCACCCTGTACTCTCGTGGCCCCTGAGGCTTCCTGTTAGCAGCACTGTTTGTTAGGAAAATGGGGTGGTTCATTCCCATTTTCCTGATGAAGATGTGACCTACAATAAAAGTGTTAAACCAAAACTAGAAACTAGAAATGTTGATTCCTTTTACGCTATGTTGGATGATCCAAGCTGGCTGTGGAATAGAGTGTTCCAGCAATCTCCTCAAAACTCCAAGATTAAGTTTTAATTGCAATCTCACTCTTCAACAGAAAATAAATTAATATTTTTGCTCATCTTCCATGCCAGTCACAGGACTAAGAGCATTAGCTTATGTAATCCTCACAAGAATCCCATTTCACAGATTTGGTAACTGAGGCTCAATGAGGTTTAAGTCCATCAGGAATGACAAAGTCAGGACTCAAAACCCAAGTATGTCTTATGTACATGCTCTCACACTAGGCTTTATGCATCTTTCATCTTTTTATCCTTAAAAGGTGGGTATTATCATCTGACCTTTACAAATAAGGTAACGAAATGAGAGGCAGGGAGGGTAAGTAACTTTCCCTACATCCAAGACTACAGCTGGCAGAGCCAGGAGCCAGGCTCTGGCTGCCTAAGTCCAGAGTGACAAGCTTTTCACCCCAGAGCCATGAGCTCGGGCTCTATGAGAACTTGTGGAAAGCAAGGCTATATTCCTCTGTTTTAAGTCAGGCTACATAGTATAGTGTATGGGATTCCAAAAACATTGGTCTCAACCATGCTGTCCCCTCACACAGCTGATTCCACGTGTAGGTGAGGCATATGGAATGAGGAAAGGTCTCACTGGAGCCAGGCCTCAGTCCAGGTGGGGCTGAGCACCCACTCAGTTGCTCTTGCTAGGGTATAAGGAGGACCGGTTCAGGAAGGAGCTGGCCTTTAGAGCCCGGAGTCTCGTGGAACCACCCCATGCAACAAAGACAGCTGGGCTCCCACCAAGCTTCTGTTCAGGCTCAGTGAGGTTCTCCAGCAACAGTTCAGGGGACACCGCACTTGATGGATGTGCAGCACCCTGCTGGGCCCTGATGAGTCTGTGTTTTGCTGCAGGCAAGAACTAAGGTTTGCTGGAAAAGGGATCAAAGATTGGAATGGGGGCCAGGTGCAGTGTCTTGTGGTTGTAATCTCAGCACTTTGGGAGGCCGAGGTGGGTAGATGACTTGAGGTCAGGAGATTGAGATGAGCCTGGCCAACATGGTGAAATCCTCTCTCTACTAAAAACAAAACAATTAGCTGGGCATGGTGGTACACACCTGTAGTCCCAGCTACTCAGGAGGCTGAGGCAGGAGAATTGCTCACACCCAGGAGGCAGAAGTTGCTGTGAGCCAGGATCCCATCCCTGTACTCCAGCCTGGGCAACAGAGCAAAACTCCATCTCAAAAAAAAAAAAAAAGAAAATTGGAATGGGACTCAGGTGACCACCAGTTGGCGGCGGGGGGGGGGGGGGTGGGGGGGGTGGGCAGTGAATTTTCCCGGAAGGCTGTTGGTTACCTGTCAGGCAGTTGAATGTGTCCAGTGAATTATGCTGGCAGAAGGAAGAGATCAAGGAGGATACAATTAAATTTTAACACCCGTCTCCAGTCATTTTCATCGTAGTTCACAGTACATGCAGATATACAAGTAAAGGAAAAAAACAGCAGAATTAAGATTTTCCTTCCATTGCTTAATGTCCAAGGCTAAGAGGTCCCTAAATTTTTCTTAGTAGTAAGTAAAGCAATCACTGATCACACAACTATATTTTGACTGGAGCGTTAACCTGGGGATTTCGAGGGGACAAGTTATTGATGGGGAATGAGACAAATGTCATCCACATTGTCATTTAGGGAATTCTTTCTAGCTGTGTGGAACCCAACTCAACAACACAGATCACTGTGTGCTTTACCAGGCCCTGAGGCAGGTGCTTGTGGTATGGAAAAGGTCAAGCAGGGCTCCTAAGTGCAGTTGTTCACCCTGCACATTTACAACCCTAGGAGGTACCCTGTAATTCACATACGTGGATGTGTGTATCTGTGAAGCCCTATTCCTGCAGGTGGCAGGAATGTGAGTTGAAGACAGTGAGCTATATGGGCTGTCCATGGTGTCATGGTCCATACCTTCCAAGAGCTCGTTGTCCAGCAAGCAGTTGAGATTCAAGAGCCAGGTAAGTCTGGAGATCCCAGGCTGGAAGGTGGGAGGTTTTCTCTCTTTCCCGTTTAAGAACAGGCTGCGTAGGGTTAAATAAGATTGGAAAATAAACTAGGTGTACTCTACTCTTCTCACTGTTGTTGCTGGTTCATGATATAATAGAAAAATCTATTCCTTTGTTACCAACTCCCAGAATCTGAGATCTTCCACCAGCTTCCAGGACAGAGAACATCTCTCCTTTGGCCTTATACTGAATTGCCTCCAATCAGAATAAGTCTCTTTCTGCTCATTATTCTTAGAGGGAAAACAAAACAAAACCAAGTTGATTTTTTAAAGACAGTGTCTCTTCCCAGTCTCCCCAGAATCTTCCCTGGGGCAAAGCTGGCTGTGCAGTGAATCCCAGCTGAGACACAGGCATTGTGCTCTGGGATTTACAGTCTCAGGACCCCAGCCCCAGCCCCGAACCCCAGCCTCTGATACCCCTTCTCCAAGTCTGAGACAACTTCCCTGTAGCACAATAACACACCCCATGCTCCAGCAGTGCCAATTTCATATATATTATTTTATTACTCATTTGTTTGCTTTCCAGGGCAAGTGAAAAAATAATTTAAACCAATTGTATGTACAGAGACTTGGTTAGTTTTCCCAAGAACTTCGAGAAAGTCCCCCAGCCCTGTAGACAGCAATGAGTATTACCTTTAACATCTATACAAAAGTCCACCTATAAAAGTCTCATGTGTAGAAAGGTTTTCTTTATTATAAGCATCACATTTTGGGGACAGGAAAGGGGTCAGGGTGGTAGGTGGAGGAAAGTGCGGGGTGGGGGTCCACACACACCTGCCCAGGGGTCATCCTGGGTGGGGAGGCTGTGGCTGGTGGGGCTCAAGTGATCTGCAGCGGGGTCTCCAACATCTCCATGAGGAAGGTGTCAATGGGGGTGTCCCCGATGAGCTTGAAGAAGAAGAGGTGCTCCAGGCATTTCAAGCCAATGGAGCGCAGAGCTGGGAGGCGCAGCAGCAGCTTGGCAAACCTGCAGGGAAGCCAAGAGGCATCAGGAACAGGGACTGGCATGCACCGCACACCTGCACCTGCTGGTGGGAGACCGTCCATTTGGTCTTCTTGACCAATCTATGATAGAAGAGCTGGAAGGGGAGACAAGGGAGTCACAGAATCTCTAAGCCTAGAGAGCTTCAGAAACAGGCAAGAGGGCTCGTCAGCCTCAAAGGCAGAAGCTGGAGCACATGACCCTTCAAGAATCTTGCATTCTGTAGCTACATCCCAGGATTACCCTCAGCTCCCCTCATTCACGGTGGGGAAAAGGAAGAACCGGATGACTGTGTCCACTCACGTTGCCAGCCTTACTGGCTCGTCACATTCTCTGTGTCCCTCGGGTATCTGCACAGGTCTGCTAAAGCACTTAGAGCAAAGCATGAGGCACTGAATGTGCTGAATGCATGGCAGCTGTCACCGTTAGATGAACATGTTTGAGAACCCCACTTTAGCCACCATGCTTTCAATTTGCTTTAGTTACCCACCCCCACAAAAAAATTTTTTAAGAATGGGGTCTCGCTGTATTGTTTAGGCTGGACCTGAGTAGCTAGGCTCAAGCAATCCTCTCACCTCTGCCTCTCAAGTAGGTGAGACTACAGGCATATGCCTTGGGGCTCAGTCACCAAATTTGTGTTACCAATTTGTAACCAATTGTTACCACTTTTTTTGAAATGGAGTTTTGCTCTTGTTGCCCAGGCTGGAGTGCAGTGGTGCAATATTGGTTCACTGCAACCTCTGCCTCCTGGGTTCAAGCGATTCTCCTGACTCAGCCGCCTAAGTAGCTGGGATTACAGGTGCCCACCACCACACCCAGCTAAATTTGTGTATTTTTAGTAGAGACGAGGTTTCACCATGTTGGCCAGGCTGGTCTTGAACTCCTGACCTCAGGTGATCCACCTGCCTCGGCCTCCCAAAATGCTAGGATCACAGGCATTAAGCCACCACACCCAGCCAATTGTTACCAATTTTTATGGTCAACTTCTTAGTCTGTGCTTACCCTTAAATTAGGGAAACAGGAGATAGAAAATAATGGTCTCTGCCTCTGAGAAGGCTATGATCTGTTTGAGGAGAGGACACATACATGCATGCATGCATACACACTGACCCACACATTCTCGTACACACTTGCACATGCTTCACACCCATGTGCCCTCACACACATTTTCACCACTCACACATGCACAATCACACTCTCTGATGCTCTCACATTCCCTCACACACATGCACTTGCACACAGCCTCACACATACACACATGCCCACTCATATGCACTTTCACATGACTTCACATGTGCATGCACACACACCTTCACTCATGCAGACACCTTCACACGTCACGTTTGAACACACATTCACACATGCTTTCGCACTATAGTCATGCATATTACACACAATACACATACATGTGTGCACACACACATTCTCACATATGCATGTGGTCTCACACCCATACACATGCACTCATGCTCACACACACGTGCATGTATCCACTCATACATGCAGACACACACTCAAGACTCACACTCTAACACGTCCTACGACATGCCCACACACACACTCACATACATTTTTCCATAAGTGAGGACACTCGTGAGATTCACAACAGGGAGAAAGACCAGTGTGTGAAGGAATTCATCTCCCATCTCATGTCCTTTTGTCATGAGACATTTGTCACCTCTCTCTGTGACATTTTTCATTCTGCCTATGTGGCCCTCTGCTCACAGTACAATGCCAGCTCACTTTTAACGTTATTAATGCTACTAGATATGAAGTTACTCTACTCACAACTTACAATAAAAAGTTCAAGGACCAAAATCACATTAGCCACTGTAGTCCTAAGTCAGAGATTTCTGATTCCAGTTGAATCTTGACTGAATATCACAATGTTATTTCATGAAAAAGTTACAAACTGGAAGTACGATGTTCCTTGAAAATGTGTGTATTTCTATACTCATGCCATATGACATTTTAAAGAAATGTATCAATACAAGAAAAATAAAGTGGCACCATCTTTTAAAAAGTAGAAATTGCTTCTCTACATGGAAAAATTAAAGGTCTATGCCAATGCCACACATTACTGCAAGCCTCCAGCAGCAAAGCCCCTGAAAGCATTTGAGTGGCATCACCGTTCAGGAAAGAGGTCGTTAGAGAATAAGGAGGCTGAACTCCCAGCCATACCTCTGCCGGTAAGCTTTGTAGAAGTAGGCAAAGGAAACGGCTTCTCTATAAGCGCAAAGTTAGGCCAAGATTAACCCTAAAAATGTTTTTTTTTTACTCTAAAAAGGCCAAGATTTTACAATATGCAAAATGGTGAGTATTCCATCATACTGCTGCTCTCTGTTGTGTGATCTGGATTTAGGAACTGAGTTCAAAGCTAATAGAAATAAACACACCCATGAATGTCACATCCATGGAACTGCCAACGCATTCCTCACCCCTGAGCAACAAGGGGGATTTATGCCTTTGGAGGCGCCTGCTCTGTATGCAAGAGCGTGTGTGTGTGTATGTGTGTGTGTGTGAGCTGTGACCTGACTTTTGATCTCTGCTTTCTGACCAGAGAAAGCAGAACGCAGCCCCTGTGACGTGCACTTCTGAGACATCTCCACAGAGTGGCAGCACTCTACCACTGAGAAATCCACCTCCACCTGGCTGTGCCAGGATCCCCTTCAACCACATTCTGAACTGAGGTGACCAGCCCTCAGCACACTCACCTACCTGGCCAGTGACACCCCTGTTTTACCTGCTGAGCCAACTACAAACACTTAATCAGGGCAGTCACCCTCAGTCCAAGCTGAGCTGGATGAACCCAGGAGACATGTAGGGAACCCATCCTCTGCCACCTCTCTGCAGTTCCAGGCTCTCCCTAGTCCTGGCAACAAGTGTTGGCCTCTCTCCTCAGTGTGTGGAGGCAGCCTAGGCTCCTGCCAGCCCTCATCCAGCAGAAGAGTCAAGTTCCAAAGTTTTCACAGTGATATGCATTGGAAACAACCCAATGTCCATCACAGGGCAATGACTAAATACATTAGGATGTGTTCACATTGCAAAATATTACAAAACCATTGGAAATGATAATTTGTAGTTGTCAATAATTGAATAAAATTCCTAGAATGACTAAGGGAAGAAAATAATACACCAAACTGTATAATTTCATATCTAGAAATGCATACACGATACACATAACACATAATAGACACATGAGGATACATACAATACATAACAGACACAAAAGGATACTGGAAAGAAATATACCAAAATATTTCCAGTAAGTTCTTATTATCTATTTTTTTTTTTGACCAAGTTTCACTCTTGCTGCCCAGGCTGGGGTGCAATGGTGCGATCTCAGGTCACCACAACCTCCGCCTCTCAGGTTCAAGCGATTCTCGTGCCTCAGCCTCCTGAATAGCTAGGATTACAGGCATGCACCATCATGCCCTGGTAAGTTTTGTATTATTAGTAGAGACAGTGTTTCTCCATGTTGGTCAGGCTGGTCTCGAACTCTTAACCTCAGGTGATCAGCCCACTTCAGCCTCCCAAAGCGCTGAGATTACAGGTGTGAGCCACCACATGTTTTTTCAAAATATTTTTCTATTTTTTTTTAGCCAAAGTATGCATTGCTTTTATAATTAGGAAAAAAGCGAGTTGGAGTTTTTTGTTTGTTTTTTAAGAGAAACAGCAAGACATAGAGCCAGTTTCAGGAAAACGATATATACAACACTCATTATTTCTAATGCCCTGCATACAAATACCTGTTCAAAAACGAAAGATCTGATAGAAAGTATCCAACTCAGGGCTTCAGTTACTATGACTTGCCTAGGGCTCACACCTAACAGAGGCCAAGCTAATGCTGGCAGCCAGGTCCTGACCCCTTGGCCAGGGCTCTCTCAATCTCATCTATAGTGAAGTGCCAGGTTCACCAAATACCAGTCTTTTCTTCTCTTCCTTGGCATACAGCAGGATACATTCTCCAGCCTCCTTTGTGGCCAGCTAAGCCACCTGACCTGGTGTCAGCCAAAGAAAGTGAGTGAAAAGATGAGGGCCCTCTAAGTCCCAGGTCTGATGCATATGGCCTGGTCTCTCCACTCCTCCACCTCTTCCCCCTTCCTTCATCTGGATGCAAAATACAGTATGACTCTGGGTCATGGTGGAGACAAGAAAAAGGAGCTTTGATCCCTGAGTGACAGCATGCAAGACAGCCACCTCTCTGAACTGACTGCCCCCCCCGCCAGATTTCTGAGCAAGAAATAGACATTTGTGTTAAACTGCTGGCATTTGGTGGGTCTATTATTATAGCCTTATCTCACTAATATACTAGGCCCTGCCTATTCATTGCACCAAAGGGCCAACACCCACCTACTCGAATTCATCCACAGCCTCCAACAAAAAACACAGCTCAACCTCTTCTGGACAATTGCTAGATGTTGGCTGATGATCCAGGATAAACATCTAAGTACATACCAGACTTCACGAAGGAATATAAATCATTAGTGAGCACTGGGAGCATGTTAAATTAATCGCCCAAACAAAAGTAATGTCTTTCAGACAGTCTTTTCAGTTTCATTTCCAGTTTTCTATGAGATTTGAGGATCATATTTCCTCATTTTAGCTGGCATTAGCAGAGAGGGAAAACTCTTTTGCTTAACTATAATTTAGAAGAAACTTTTGAGAATATTTTTTATTAACTCAGAAATACCTATATTACTAGATGGCCTCAGAGATCTGCTAGACCAACATCCTTCTTTCCAAATGAGGAGCCTAGACTCAAACCCAGCACCTTGCAGATGGCCACACACATGGCACCTAAGGACCAGCAGCCACATCTGCCGGCTACCAAAGCCTGTACTTTGTACTGCGTGGGAGTTTCTACGGGGGCAGACAGAAAGCCATGCAGTCACATCACAAACATAGGTTCTGTGAAATCACACCCAGTGGGTTCCCTTCTCACCTCCACAGCATGCTGGCATTATGGTCTTCAGCAAGTCACTCAACTTTTCTGGGATTCTGTTTCTTGATAGAAATTGGAGATAATAATTCCCACATTTATGCGTTTGCTATTTATCCTCCATTTAAAGATGTGTACTATATGTCGGGCACTGCTTTATGTGTTGAGGCTAGAGGAGTGAATGGTGAGAAAGACAGACGAGGCCACTAGCCCTGTGGAGTCAACATTTTTGTCACTGTAAGCTTGTTATGAATATTAAACCTAACCAGTGCCTGCTGCACATTAGGAGCTCAGAAGATGAAGAGTGGAGTCGTTGCTGCTGTGACTATCCTTCTGCCAGCACTCTCACCTGCCTGGCTGTTCCGGATACTTCTGCTTGGTGTAGGCCTCAAGGGTGGCATAAACCTTCTCTCGCAGAGTCTCCACCTCAGAGGGGTTGGAGAGGCCCTTGGCATCTAAAAGAGATGACTGATTTAGCCTTTGGTTACACATCTCCTAGCAGAGGCTGTCCCTGTTCCCTCTGGCCACCCTCCCTAGAGTTACTAGAGACACCCTGGATGAAAACAAGTGTGAAATAAACAAAGCTGGTCATTCGTGCCCCCTTGTTCTTCTTTCTGTGCCCAACTTACCCAACAAACTCTTGGGGCAAAGATTTTAAATTCCATTAATAGGCAAATGTACGCACCACTGACTAAAGAGGAGAGCTGTACTTTATCCAGGCCATTCTCGAAATACTACCTGCACACATTTACTGAGTATCTACTATGTGCTAAGCATGAACTGAATGATAAGATGAGGCACAAAAGCTGAATTGGCACATGTCCTGCATCAGTGAACTAATTGCCTAATTCTGGAGGTAAAGCCTCTGCACTAGCGACTCCTCATTCCGAAGGTTCATTTTTCTTGACCACAGCTGCGTTTGCTGGAGCTGATCAACTCCTTCGTGAAAGACTATTTTCCCTGAGCCTCCAGGACACCACCCTTCTGATTCTCTCCCTATCTCACTGCCTGCCCCTTCTCAGGTTCCTTTGCTGGCTCTTCCTTTTCTCCCTGACCTCTAAATGTTGGCATCCCCCAGGGCTCAGTCCCCAGCCCTCTTCTCTGCTCTGTCTCCCCAGATGATCTCGCCCCAGTGTCACAGCCTTACACAGGCAGAGGCTGCCAGCTCTCAGATGCATGTCTCTGGTCCTGGCTTCTCCCATGAGTTCCAGACTCATATGAGCTTTCTGGGCAGCCACTCTTGGGTATCTACTTACCCATCTTCTATTTTAATGTCCAAAGACAAGATCCTAATTCCTACCCACCTACTCTCAGAACCTGCTCCTCATGGAGTTTTCCCCACCTCAGTGAATAAGAACTTCATTTTTCCCATTGTTCAGGAAAATAAAAATTAAAAAAAAAAAAAACAGAGAGTCATATTTAACTCCTTTCTTTCACATCCTATATTCAATCCGTCAGCAAATCATAGCGGCTTTACCTAGGAATACATTCAGAATCTGACTGCTTTTTACCACCCCCTTCACTGCCACCCTAGGCCACTGTCATTTTTCATCTTCCCCACTTGCCCCATACATGTGCCTGCCATGCCCATTCGAAACATTTTTTTAAGATGGCTGTAGCTGACACTGTGAGTTCTCCTGGGTTCCTGGCTCTGCCGTCTCTGTTTCAGCTGAGCTGGAGGACCAACAACATGGGAGCAGTGGAGGCTGGCCACAGAAGGGCTGAGTACACCCAGCCCCTGGGGTCCAAGGGCAGTTACCTGGGTTAAAGAGCACAATAGCTCGCAGGCACCCCAGCTCCGACTTGTCCATCTGCATGTCTTTCATTTTGGAAACCAGCTCAGTTAGAACTCTGTTAACAGGAAAGGAGCAGGTAATGAGAAAACCATGAGTACCAGGCCAAGAGTCAATACAATGAATTCAACCAAAATTTTTACATACCCACTCTGTTCCCAGACAATGTACCAGGTACTAGGGACACAGAAATGAAAAAGATACACACCTCCACTGCAAGATTACAGCTTAACTAAAGGAAAAGACATAAAAACAAGCAGCAACACAAAGCCCAGGAATATAACAGCCATGAGCAAAGTCCAAGTGGCCAAAGAGGCAGCAATGAACTCTGAGCAGGGAACCGGAAAGGCATCACAGAAGTCTTGGAAATTAGAAATGCAACACACAAAGCAAGCCAAGGGCATTGCATATCTAGAAAAACACAGCAGAGGGCAGCAGTCAGTGAACTGGTAGAAATGTCCAGGCACCCTGAAGGGGGATGGGTCATTCCAAAGGCCATGTTGGACTCTACATGGAACATGTGGGAAAGGGCAGGGAAATAGTAGAAACAGTTCAGTGGATGTGCACATGATTAAAAAAAAAAAAAAAAAGACCATTTACCATGGAGGTGGAAAGGGGCCACAGGGCCCTGGCATTGGACAGAGAGATTAATTTCAACTGATTTCTCCTCTTTACCAGTTCTCCAACCTCCCATTCTCAAGTCATTAACTACTCATTTTATTTGACTCCTCGGCTGATGGCTTAATTTTCCTTTAGTATCATTTTAAGGCCCAGAATGTCTGCCAGGGTGTCCCTGCCTGACCAAGATGGGTTTGCTCCTGCTGCAGGCCTCCTTCTGAGATCATCCAGAGCCCAGCATAAACAGCCCATTTTGCCTATTCGCTTGTGGACAGATCCTGATCCCTTTCCATCCCTGGCCCCTAGGATAAGCAGTTTACCCTCTCCACCCACAACTTACTAGCTGGTGTCAAGATCTAATCTCTTCTTGGAAAACCCATTGGGATAACTGTTTCTTCCATCTGCCCGGCAACTGTGCTGGCCTCTGATTGGCTCCGTCTTATTGTGATCTCAACCTTTATTTTAATCTCTCCCTCATTCCCCAGGTTTATAGTTTCATGTGCCAAGTGGTCTCTGCATAGTCACGTGCAGCTAACTGAGCTGCCCATCCTCCATCCCAGCACTACCCAGAGGTTTATGCCCACATAATTCATGTATATACCCATGTGTATACATACACATACATAATACACACAAATACTGAAAGCAGAAGAGAGACACCTGTCAAAGATGGAGCCGACCCCAGCACTATGGGCACTGCTCCGGTGGACATGTAAACCCGTGGCCAGAAGGATGCCATCCTGCACGGAAACTGAGCGGTGGGAGAAAGAGGCAATCAGCAATTCATTCCACCCTGCAAGGATAAGGAGGAGGTCTTGAGGGAAAACAGGCCACATTCTTTCTTTCTTTATAATCACCCAAGGCATGTACTATTATCCCACATAACACAAGCAGAATTGCAAATCTAGGGAGGTTAAGAATTAGTTCAAGAGGACACAGCTAATTAGCGAAGAAACAAAGGATAAGACTGGAGTCTGCTGACTTATGGCTCTGCACATCCCCTACTCTCTCCCAGATGCAACCCGGCATGACAGCTTGAGGACAAGGATTCTTTTTTTTAATCAGTCAACAATGTGGATTGAACATTTAGCAGATAATAGTCACTATGTTAGCTGCCATGGTGGACAAAGCTCGTATACCTTGCAGTCTCTGCCCCCAGCACCTGACAACCTAGTTTTGTTTCTTTGTCATTGTCTAGTAACTCCCAACACAGTACGTAGCTTCCAGCTGACAATCAATGAGTGCTCATTATCTAACAGGGACGAATGAATGGACTGGTTCCCAAGGCTCAGCCAATCTTCATAATATTTCCCTGCTGGCTCAGTGACAAAGAGGAGATATGGAGTATGTCAACGGTCTGCAAGTGTCCCAGAAATAGGAGGCAAGAGAAAATACAGCACATAGAGTCTTAAAATAGGAAGACCGTGGAACTCATCTAGTACACTCTTAAGCAAACATCTTTGGCTTCTTTATCTCACCTATGAAATGGGTGAGATATTTGCCAATTGCATTACAGTAATGAGGTGCTGCTTCAAATTATCCTCAATAAAAATGATTGAACAGTCTTTGAAAAACATATGCAAATTATAAAGCCATGGTAAAATTTTCATGGGAAAAGAGTCCCACTCCTTCCTTAACAATGTTTCACTTGGGAATGAACAACTCTGCATGGGGTTATTTCATCATCATCATGGTACATAGCTTGGACATGTTGCAGCTTCATCAGGTCACCTTTTTTAGGATCCCAAGAGCAATTTCAAAATTGTCCCAGAGAGAAAGGCAGCCAATATACTTTACCTGCCCGAAGCAGAATGACCTGGTCCTCCAAGGTGAGGTCAGAGAAGTGGGGAATACGCTTGGCCCATTCAACGAGGGTGAAAAGCTGCTTGTCAGCCGCATGACATATGTTGGTAACAGGGTCATTTGTCTGAAAAAGGAAGAAAGTACTGAGAGGACAGGTCCCAGGACTCGAATACACCCGTTTCTCCCATTTCCAGCCCTATCCAAGAAATGGAACACACATGTGTATCTAAGAGCACATACCGAGTTCTCCATGTTCATGTCACCATAGGATTCTGTCTTTGGTTCAACAGCAAGTTCAGCTTCTAGAATCCTCTCCACGGGCATGTCTTCATGACCATTACTGGCACATTCTGCCTCACTCTCAGCTCGCTCCCGGCTCCTCTGTCTTTCTTCTTGCACAGCTGACACGCAGCAGGACATGCAGAGGTTACCATAATGCCCACAACAACAATGGAAAAATGTATTACCCACCTAAGCCTCAACTTACTCATCTGTGAAAGGGGAATCATCATGATCCTGAATTGGGAATGTTGTAATGTTGACAGATGAAACAAGGAAAGCAAAGCTGTTTGCTTATGCCTATGCAGAAGGAGGGGTTCTTCAGTGCATATTCTTTCCAATGCATCATGGTGACCACAGTAAGAAGTGTGCATCTTAAGCTTTAATAAACTCTCTATCTTCTCTTTTATTGGGCCACCCTCTCCTTGCTCTCCCTGCAGATCCCCACATTCTTCCTCTACCTGCTGCCTCTAGAAAACCATGAGCATGAAAGAGTTAAGTAGCAAGCACATTACTTTAAAAACTCCCTCTGTCAGATCCTATGCATCATCCTTGGCATTCACGTCCCATTAGGTCTGCCCCTAGTGCACCAGCTTGAACACAACATCACCTGATCTGACTTGTCAGGGAAGATCTTCAGGGAGCCAGCTGTGGGTATTTAGTAAGTGAAGGGGTGGAGGGATGTCACCTAGATGACATTTCAGAATCTGTGGCTGATTTTGGAGGTGGGGGAGGGTACATAGGCAAAGGTGTAGGTTGGAATCAGCCTCTCCAAAGCTTAGGGTTTTCATCAAGCTTCAGCCCAACTCTCAGAAGCCTCCATGTCTATACATTAGGCTGAAAAGCAGACCCCTGCCCCCTCCAATTCTATGCCCTTCACCAGGAAAAAAGTCTCTGTTAAGTTAGTTTCCATCATCTAGAAAGCTGTAGTTTCCATCGTAGTCACAACAGCAATAAACAGAATTCAATATTAGAACACATTTTTTTACATCCCAAGAGTCAAGAAAATTATCCTTTAGGCAGGTGACTAGCCTGAAACTCAGTGACAGCTACTCCACTAGCAGCTCCTACTTCTGATCTCTCTCCCTTCCTCCCCGTAGTCCACTTGCAAGAGTGCCTCCTACTCTCTCAGGAGATAACGAGCCACAGAGGCTGCAGAATGGACTGGAACCGCAATGCCGAACATCTAGTTTGTCATGCGAGCCGTATCAGTCTTTCAAGGTAGGTCAGACAAGGGTATGACTGCAAAAACACAACTTAGGCTCCAAAGCTTAGTGGAGACACGCCAAAAAGCTTCAAGACGCAAATGGTACTGTGTAACTGAGAGAGAAGCAAGGAGGGTAGAAAGGAGAAAAGGAACAAGGGAAAGAGACAAGAAGACAGGGGTGATAAAAAAGAGGAAACAGGGGAGAGAGAACAGCGAGGAGAAGATAGGAAAAATAGGAGCAAAAAACATGTACGTTGGCGTCAAAGAAATCTTTTTCACATATAACTCTACCCCTTCCCTGCTAAATGACACTGGACGTATGACTGGGCCGAGTAAGCCCCAGTTCCCTTATCTGGGAACCAGGGATTAACTGAGATAGTTAAGGCTGGTGCTTAGGTAAGGTTGGTCCTCTTCAGTGCCTAACTGAGATAATATCGTAGGGATGAATGAAGCAATTACAAAAACTCAAGATAAATCATTATTTTCTCTTTCCCTTTGTGTCTTTTTAGCTTGGGCTCATCTCTCCATCTCCCTCTTCGGCCTCTTCCTCTCTCTCCTGCTGTTCTCCCTCTTTCTGTCTCATTCTGTCAGCCTTCATTCCCTGACAACATGTAGATTGTCATAATATGCATTTTTTATTATAGTTGAATTTACTGGGAAACGTGAATGCTTCTTATATTAATTTTTTAAAGGTAGGTGATGAGCTTCTACTTGTCTTGACTCTAAAAGATGAGGGAAAGCAAACTAAGTTAAGTTTCATGGTCCTCAATTTCTTCTACAGACTTGTAACACTCAAGGAAAATAACCTTCAAGCTTCAAAGAAAATAACCTTGGTGTCATGGAATTAGATTCTAATTGCAGTTTTGCCATTAATTGAGCAAACCCTTTGCTGTTCACTTTTCCTCTTTGTGCTTAAATCTTCCTGTCGTAAACGAGGAGTCATATGTTGCTACTGGCGGGTAGCTTCTACGTGTCTGACATTCTAAGCTACCGTTACAACACACATCAGGGTGCATCCAGGGAACACTGGATGATCAAAAATAGTCCCATACTCCTGCCTTAGGAAAGGATTTTAACCATTCATCCAACATGTGATTATTCTGTACTTATTACAATAGCCAACACTTAAGAAGCTCTTTCTCTGCGTCAGGAATTATACTCAACATTTTAGACAGATTATATTTTATTTAATCCTCAGGATAACCCTCTGACATACTAGGAGCCATAGAGAAACTAGTAACATAGCTGAGGGCATATGGTAGGCCACGGTGAAGCCAGCACAAGAACCCACAATGGCTCCTCCTGGGCCCATCTGTAACCTCTCAGTGCTGCTCCAAGGTACTGGGCTAGTTCTGTTGATAAAGACCACATAGGGCTCACAAGGATACCAATGAAGCCAGGAAGAACCTTAAAGTAATCCATTCTCCAGTCTTGAAACTACATGTATATGACCAGAAATCATGGAAATAGACATTCCAGAATTCCCAAGGTGGCCCAAGAATCAGAGGGTCCTATACTGGGTCTGCCATTTGCTTACTGTGTGAGCTGGTGCAGGTCCCCAGGCTCTCCGAACCTCTGATTCTTCTTTCAGGAAATGGATGTGTTACCTTTGAGAATAGAAAATGTCCGCTCTATCTTTAACATTATGTATCCTAAAAGGGTAACAGGTCCTGGCCCCTGGTCCCAGGCAGGTAAATTCTGTGCCTACCCAGTTCTATCTCTTTATCTGTGTGATTTCCATTATCTCTCTGTTATCTGCTCCAGGATGTTATTATTCTTGTCTTCAAGAAAGAGTGCAAACTGAGCCCCAAATTCTATAAATCAAGAGCAGAAATGACGGTGGTGACAGACAGGCTATCCAGTAACCTTTTGAATGTGGCCTCTTATGTATTGAGAGGAGGAACTGATTCACCTCTTTGCCTTCTCTTTGTTAGGGTAAATGGTACCAATCTCTTTAGAAAGTTCCCTAAGAGCTCCTTCCCCCCTCCTAATTTTTACTACTCTGCTTTTCATTATTCTTTCTGTTTCTCCGCATTCTTTTTAAAAAAAATGCAGGAGCAAAAAAACTGGGTCCAATTTTCTATTAAAGTACACAAACCATGCTAGATTTACAAGAAGAACTGTCTAGTTTCTTACAGTTCACATGTCCCTGTTTTCCTTCCTTTTTATGAAATAAATAAATAAATAAAGAGTCACACTTCCCAACATTTGGCCTATCGACCACTCTGTTCCTGACTGAGCTGGGGATATTCAGCCTGAGTTTTGAGAGATGGGTAAGACTAACTCTAGAGAAAGAGAAATGATGGTTTCTCTGACTGAGGCCATTCACTTTCTTTTAATTCAGTATCATGAGCTTAATGAAAACTGTTATTTTTCCAAGTCAACTGGAAACTTATCTCAAGTGTTTTAGGAGGAAAAAAATGACCCTGCAGCCACTGGACTCTTGTTAATGGGAGAAACACTTGTAGTCATCACTGTTAGACCAATCAGGGTAGGGGAAGCTCCAGGAAGTATCAATTCTATCCTAGTGAAAAAAGATGGTCTTCATCAGTAGGTATTTTATATCGTATGTTCCAATCTGTAACAGCATCGATCCCACTGCCACAGCAGGTATGACGTAAGCACAGAGTAGGCACTCAGCTAATACTCAATGAACAAATGAATGAGTCATTTTTAGGAGCTCCTGCATTTCTAAAACTTCCAATTTCAGCATTCGGTTTAAACTATTCATTCAACAATTTATTAAATGGCTACAATGTATTAGTCACTGGCGATAAAGCAGTGGGAGGAAAAGCAGGCAAAGCCCCTGCTTTCAGGGATGCAGAGAGTAAACAAGATAAATACAAGTGTTAGATAGTGATAAGTGCTGTGCAAAAGAGACAAGGAAGACTTGCAGGCAGCTGGCACAATTTTAGACAGTATAGCCAGGCAAGCCTTTACCAAGAAAGTGAGAATTGAGTCAAGATCCAAAGTATGAGAAGTGAACCATGCAGACACTTGAAAAGAAGCCATTCTAGACAGACAGCAAGTGCAAAGGCCCTGAGGTGGGCACATCCCTGGTACAGTTGAGGACCAGCAAAGAGGCCAGGTAGGTTGTGGCTGAGAGACAACAGGGCATCCAGATCATGTATAACCTTAAGTCATAACAAAGATGTCTGCCTTTTTTTCTGGGTGATAAGGAAAGACATCGGAGCATTTTGGCAAAGGAGTACCTTGACCCAATCTACTTGTTCAAAGCCTCCTTTTGTCTACTGTGCTAAGGGACTGTAGAAGGACAAAGATAGAAGCAAGGAGATGTCTTAGGATGCTATGTAGATCACTACAGAAGACAGTGGCTTGGATTGGGTGACAGTGGTAAAAACAGTGAAACATGGAAAGATTCTGGGCATATTTTGAGGAAGAGACAAAATTTCCTCACCCACTGCATGTGATGTGTGAAGAAAGAGGGGAGTCAGCCAGGTACGATGGCTCACGCCTATAATCCCAGCACTTGGGGAGGCCAAGGCGGGTGGATCACAAGGTCAGGAGATGGAGCATCCTGGCCAACATGGTGAAACCTCATCTCTACTAAATTTACAAAAATTAGCTGGGAGTGGTGGCACATGCCTGTAATCCCAGATACTTGGAGGCTGAGGCAGGAGAATCGCTTGAACCCAGGAGGTGGGGGGGTGCAGGTTGCCAAGATCACGCCACTGCACTCCAGCCAGGTGACAGAGCGAGAGTCCATCTCCAAAAAAAAAAAAAAGAAAGAAAAGAAAAAAGAGGGGAGTCATTGGTTTTTGTTCTGAGCAACTGGAAAATAAGTGGTCATTTCCTGAAAGGGGGAGACTGCATGAGGAACAGGTTGGGGTGTGGGGCAGATTATCAGGAGCTAAGATTTGGTTCTCTTGCTTTTGAGGTTGCTCTTAGATGTCACAGCGAGGGCTGTCCTCAGTTCCTTCACAGCCTGGCAGGGAAGGAGACACAGATCAGTGCCAATCTGGGAGTCAGAGACCTGGGGTCAATTCGTTGCCCACCTTTGGCACCTCAGACAACTCCCTTTGCCTCTCTAAGCCTGTTTCCTCAGTGGAGGATGGTTACAGTTGATTAGGTGACTCTGTAAGGCCACCTCTAGCATCTCTACATGTTAAGATTCCAAGAATTTGTTTTCTCATGAGTGACATTCCCTGTTAGCGGGGACACAAAGAGCCCCTCTTCATTGACCCTGTCAGTCAGATGTCGTCTTCTCACAGAAAAAAAGTGCCTCAAGAATGAGGAGCCTGCTGGGTCTGACTGAACTCCTTGTTCTTATTTCCTAAAGAAAGGCAGGGCCTTCTTACCCTAAAATCTATTAAGATTCACCACTGGCCCCATGTCTCTGCTTGAGCTCGCTAGTTAATTAACTGCCCACTTCAAATTATTTGTGTTACTTAATGGAAAGACTTTTCCATCTTCTAAAGGAACAGAAAGCACCTTCAGAGGTTTTTTTCTCTGACACTAGAATACCCAGCTAAACCACAGTGTAAATTAAAAGATGTAACAGTTTCAACACACAGCAGTAGTCTCTCTGAGTGGGAAGGTTAGGTATGTCAGACCTGTGTAATGCCAGTAATGTAAAAGATGATGGAATATACCAACGTCAAAGAATTTAAAGCAGACTAAGGTATAAAAGCTCAGTGAGTGAAATCAAGCCTGCAGCTTTCTCCAGAGAGAGACCTAGCATTAGAGGAGGAAAGTCACCTCCGCCCTAAAGGTCAGTCTGACCATCCATTGGTAGAGCAGAGCATAAGGACCCTGAAACCTTGGCTCTAAGACTTGCTGCCTGGCTACTGGAAGAAAAAGGGAGAAGGTCCAGTTTAGGGATCACCATCTGGGCTCCAGGAGAGGATGGGTAAATGTGGAGGAGAAAGATGCCTCTTGCCCTCTTTGCTTTGGAGAGACACATTTCCTAGGACAAGGGTACATTGAAATACACGAGAAGTCATGGTTCCCAAAGTCGTCCCAACCTCCAATTCAGACTTCTCTTTAGAGCCCTGTGGGGAAGAAGTTTGAAGTGGATGGAGATTAGGATGACTTTGGGCACCATGGCTTCTCGTGTTTTGCAGTTGCATGTCCCCTTGCCCTAGGTAATGCCTCTGTCCAGACACATGTATTGGAATTGAACGTGTCTCACCTTCCCTCTTCATGCCCATGACAAGGCACTTCTGATAGCGACAGTACTGGCAGCGGTTGCGCTGACGCTTGTCAATGAGGCAATCTTTATTATCCCGACATGTGTAGATGAGGTCCTTCCTTATCGTCCTCTTGAAGAACCCTTTGCAGCCTTCACAACTGTACACTCCGTAGTGCTTTCCTGGTTACGAGAAAAGAACATTCCATAGATTGTTCTTGTGTTTACTTGACTCTTTCATTTAAAAGAACCTCTTGGCTCTTCCCCAGAGAAACAGGCACATCACTTGGGCATTGGGACAGAAAGCAAAAAACAACTAGCAGAGAATGCAGGCTTGACCACAGGAACCAAACTGAGAGCAAATACACCTTCCCTCGTGTGTTTCCTCTGTATTACTAATTCCAGATAGCATCATTAGAAAACTCCTTTACCATAAACTATGAACAGAATTCTGAGTTATGAACTTTTAAGTGCCATTGCCTGATGAGGAAATTAATTTGTGTTTTATCTTCATATCATTTGACAATCAAGCTATGACATAAAGATCTGATAGAAGGTGATTTTTCAGCCGGGCATGGTGGCTCACACCTGTAATCCCAGCACTTTGGGAGGCCGAGGCAAGCAGATCCCTTGAGGTCAGGAGTTGGAGACCTGCCTGGCTGACATGGTAAAACCCAGTCAAAAGAGAGAAAGAGAAAGAGAGAAGGAAATAAAGGAAATAAAGAAAGAAGGAAGGAAGGAAGAAGGGAAGGAGGAAAAGAAGGAAGGAGGGAGGGAGGGAGGGAGGGAGGGAGGGAGGGAGGGAGGGAAGGAAGGAAGGAAGGAAGGAAGGAAGGACGGAAGGAAGGAAGGAAGGAAGGACGGAAGGAAGGAAGGAAAAAATTAGCCAGGCATGGTGGTGCGTGCCTGTGGTCCCAGCTACTTCAGAGGCTAAGGTAGGAGAATCACTTGAACCATGAGGCAGAGGTTGTAGTGAGCCAAGATTGAGCCCCTGTACTCCAGCCTGGGTGACAAAGTGAGACCCTGTCTTGGAAAATAAAAATAAAAAGAAGGTGATTGTGCTTTATCCAGACTAATTTGTTGCATATTTCATTGCCCTTATTACCTGTCCACACAGGCAGTTTTTAATCACCCCAGGCCGGGGTGGCTCATTTGTGTCAGGAGAGCCACCAAGCCCAGCCTCACACAGGCAACATGAATCAATCACAGTACTTTTTCAAGGTAGAAGTCTTCTCAATACTGTGCACCATGCACTATGCTTGATTGATTGAAATTGCAGAACTTCAAAAATATAAGGAAACAAATCATTCAAAACATATTTATATCTAATTCTTGAATGTAATATGTGATGTCATTGAGCTACAGAAGTGACATGACTTTCTAATTCTGTTTCACTTAGGTTTCCAGCATCTCAGGAGCTCACAGTTCAGAGGAAGCCATTCTAAGATGAAATGATGGGTAGAGATAGGCTGCCTGAGGAAAAGCCAGCCTGTGACTCATTAGTTGACCACACCACAGGCTGGCTTCTCACATTGCTGAACTCATGGCAATGACAAATACAGGATTTTATCTCGGGCCCAGAAAACCTAGTACTCTCAGCTCTGAAATATTAGTCTTAGAGAAATATAGGACCAATTTTTCAACTGTTTGGCACAGTCATTCCCATGGCTTTTCAATATTTAAATGAACCTCATAGACTTTCAACTAGAATAAGCATAGCAGAGAAAATACTCAGTTGGGCTATGGGTGATGTGCTGTTATGGCAATGGCCAAGTTTGCATGATTTGGGAAGTGTTTTTTGAGAGCGAGCAAACATCAGCCATTCAGCTAGGTAAGTTCTAGGTGCCTGGAACTTTCAATGGAGTCACATTCTGCAGTGGCTTTGGTGACAGTAAGAGGATAAAGAAATATTCAGTTAGCCTTCATGGACAACTATGGAAAAGAAAATAACCTGCCCTTCTTATTATTCTTCAAATAGTCAAATCGGAGATTCAGATGTGTTCAAAATTGGTGAGGAGGAAAATATGGGACAGAAAGAACGGAGAGGAAAGAAGCAAGGAAAGAAATAACTGAGAAAGGGAGAAGAGAAGCAAAGGTAAATGGTGAAAACACATTTGTTCCTGCCTATAAAAACATCTTGAAAACCTAGAATGCTATAGCAGGAGATATGCTAAAATATTAAAGGGTTTATCTTTCTTGGGGACCTTATGGGTAATTTTTTACTTTTTCTTTGCAGTTTTCTAGTTCTTTCAAATTCTGTACATTAGGACATTATTTTTACAATTGCTTATTTGGGAGATTTTTTAATACTTTTTTTTTTTTTTTTGAGATGGGGTCTCACTCTGTGACCCAGGATGGAATACAGTAGCAAGTTCACGGCTCACTGCAGCCTTGACTTCCCAGGCTCAAGCAGTCCTCCCACCTCAGCCTCCCAAGTAGCTGGGACGACACCAAAGTGCTGGGATTATAGGTGTGAGCCACCACACCCAGCAAAAATACTTGATAATCACAACAGCTTCTCTCTCTCAGATACGTGTGTAATAATGTGACTCCAGACAGGGGGTTCTGAAATGTTTCCTGTAAATCTCACCCTCAAAAAATAAAGCCATACTTTAAATTCATCTAGATGATAGCCTGTGAATGCAGTGACAGAAATGTACAGGCGGGTTCCCATCTAGCCCATCCTACAGGGACACTTTCCTTTCATTGGGTACAAAGTATTCAGGCGGACAGTGAGCAACCCCTTCTCTGGAGCACGTTAGCGGGCTGTCTGATTCTGTATGTACCTGAGGATCTGTCTCCACAGATGGCACAGATGTGTTTAACCAGCGATCCAGGGCTGGTGGACGGGTAGTTCATGTTTCCAATCCCAGGAAGCCCTGCTAAGGGTTTGATGTCCTCTGAACTGCTGACACTGTTGACCACATTTAGCTGCAAGAGAAAAAAAATACTGTAAAGCACAGAGCCAGAGTGAACTCAATCCCCAAGACCTAAGGCAAGGAGGGTATACTCAAGAAAAAACAAGTTCTATTTCAAGAAGCAGATTCCAAGTGCAGAGTATTTGAAACTGCCTATCTGTGAGATGAACTTAAGGGAGGGAAAAAAGTATCATAGGAGGAACAAAATTATTTCCGGAAGCTAAAACCTAAAGCAAAAATCACAACAACACAACTCCATTAGAGTCTCTCTGCTTTTATTCATGTGTTTTATTTGAGCTAGAAATCCATGCCAAATTACACACCTAGGACAATGTCAGCTGTATATTTTTAAATTTTTATCAACTATTGACTGCCTATTCAGCCGTGCTGCAAGAGGAGCTATGGCCCTCAGACTAAAGACATACACTCTAACAGAGCCAAGCAAAAAATGCAAATCCATTCATTAGTCAATCAACAGACATTCCCTGGACACTCAGCATGCCAGACACTGTGCCAACCTCTGGGGTACAAAGGCAAGGAAAAGTTCACACCCAGAAAGAATTCACAGTGAAATGGAAAAGGACATGTGTAATGGCCACCTCTGCAAGCACCTTGAAAACGCAGACTCAAATACCCAAATCATTGCAGTAGCACCAAAAATTGGGTAGAAAGCCTGAGATCTATGTTTTAAACTTGTTTGTAATAGATTATCTTCCTGTGACACTGTAAAATCTGTAGAGCCAGAGGCTGTGTCTGCCTTGTGTTTCCAGCACCTTCCTCATGGAGCCCAGCACGTAGTAGAGAGTCAGTAGATTTGAATGGCTGTATAAATGTATCTTGTGCTATCCCTTCCTCATCCCTTATTGTAATTAACATCAGCTCCCCACCACCACCTCTGTGTCTCCCAGTGCTCTTGGGAAGATTCCTAAGGAACTGCTGCTAAGTGTCTTATATTCACCAAAGAAAGTAAGTTGAATAAATTTGAGTCAGTGATCCAATCAGCAATAGAAACCTAGAGAGTATATCTCTCATTCCTCAAAAATGTACAATGTCATCAAGGAGTTAGAACATGCACAAGAAAATAAGAACATTTACAAGCAAGTTCACATGAAGGTAGTGCAGAGTATGCACTACCAGTACAGGTAGATGTTTAGGGTTAGGAACCACTGACTTCCCGTGGTCTGTCTGAATTTTAAATCATATTGCCTAACCAAAGTGACAATAATTCTCAAACTGAATCAAAGGTAGGATTTTCCTCTCCATTCAAGGCCTTTGGGACAGAAGAAAAGTTCAATAAAGCAGAAACTATACAGAGCCTAAAGTACATTCCTTCTAAATTCACTAGCTTTTTCAATTCACTAAGCAAATATTTATTGAGCGCAGAAGGCAAACAGAGGCTATCGGTTAAACGTTGTGAGGGATACAAAAAAGAAAAGACACAGCCTTTGGAGCTTTGTTTGGAAATCAACATCACTATTAATTTTAAAAAATTAATTTGCATAATAAATGACAACACATATGTGATAGAAGAATTCTCTCTTTCTTCCTGCATCACCCCCTTTTTTTACAGAAGGCTATGAGAAGACATCTGGAACTTGTAACTAGCATTTTGTCTTCATGTAGTTTCAGGGTTCTCAACCCTGGGAGCTTTGGAGAAAAACATGGACCACATGTCTTGCGATTCTGATTCCATGAGTGTCAGGTAGGATCTTAGCTCCAGCATTTCTTCCTTTCTTTTTTTTTTTTTTTCTTTCTCTCCCTGAGATGGAGTCTCCCTCTGTCATCCAGGCTAGGGTACAGTGGCATGATCTCCGGCTCACTGCAACCTCCACCTCCCTGGCTCAAGAAACCTTTCCCCTGCCTCAGCCTCCCGAGCACCTGGAATTACAGGCACAGGCCACCATGCTGGCTATTTTTTTTTTTTTTTTTTTTTTTTTGGTATTTTTAGTAGAGATGGCATTTCACCAGGTTGGCCAGACTGGTCTCGAACTCCTGACTTCAGGCAATCTACCCACCCTGGCCTCCCAAAGTTCTGGGATTACAGGTGTGAGCCACTGCACTCAGCCAGCTTTGGCATTTCTTTAATTTCACCAGATAACGTTCATGTGCAGCCAGGGTCAAGAACCACTGCCGTAATGTGACTACTAGGCAATAACTTTCCTCAAGTGCCTCAAAGAAACAGGTGAGCACCTGGATCCAACTGATGAAATGGAAGAATTTTAGGTCAGATGACCCCCCAGAGATAGCCCTCAAGCTGACCATGGCTCCATCCCCAAGCCCTCAGAGGGACAAGAAAAGTCATGGGAAGAAGGAAGAAACCACCATCACCTGAGGCTCAAGGGGATCTCACCCTTCCTTCTCCTCCTATCCCTATCCCAGCAGGACCAGCTCCACTGCTAACAGCCTGCAGCAACCACAGAGAGTAATGATTGCCATTGCTACCGTCCTCAGAAAGCTTGCTCTGTTAATCCTCACAACAACCCTTAGAGGTCTTCCTATTTACAGATAAGGACATTGAGACTTCAAGTGAGTTTATTCCTTTGTTTATTCAGAAATAACATGGAGATCCAAAAAGGAGGGAGATACAGGCACTGCCTGAAGCAACTGGCCGTTAATGAGATTAAAAGTCAGTCTGGATCATTTAGGAAGGAAAGATCACATGTTGTTGAGATCAGGGAAGATTTCATGAAGGAAGCTGGGACTTGACAGCCTTCAAAAATGGGTAGGATTTTGGATGGGCTAGTGATGGGCAGAAAGCTTTGAGAGCAGAGGCCTAGAGGGAAGCCCAAGTGTTTGTGGAATGAACATGCCTGGTGGATGGATGGGAGATAATGCTGAGAAGTGGGCTATGACAGAGCCTAGAAGCTGAATTGCCTGGATAGGAGAATGGATTTAGTTTGGGCAGCAATAAGCAGCTACTAGAGGTTCGGAGCAGAGAAATAATGACCTGAAACTACCTCAGTGACGTAAATGAGGCAGAGTATCAGGAAAGATTGAAAGAGACATGCAACATGCTATTGCACCTGCCTGGACACCAGGTTAGGTACCTTGCCAGGCCTGACTCTTGGAGCTAGAACACCAGGATCCTGGATTCTAAACTATCATTCCTCCTTTACCACCTTGTCTGCCTTGGGTGACAGGCAGTCCTCAATCTTCACCTGCCCTAGCAGCTTCCTTCCCCACCTCCTTGGCCAGGAGCCCCTAGAGGAACATAATTACTTTAAGGCACTTTCTCCCAGTCGGAGCCAGCAGCCCCTCTCCAACACTCCTCCTCTTCATGAGTGGATGGTGGCAGGAGGGGCAGTTGGGACAGGTGAGTTGATGTTTTCTCTCGCCATTTCTCTGGCTGGCTTGGGGTTTGTTTTGGGCTCAGAGCAATGGCAGATGAGATCAAAGGCAGCCATCAGAGCATAAACCCATTAGCTGCCTGGTCCCCAAGTCCCCCAATCCCTGCTGTCTTGTTCCATTAGAAACAGTCTACTGAAATAAGCACTTTAGAGCCAGGATTCACCAAGCAGCTCCTATCTGCTGCTGCACGCAAGCCGACTGCTCCCTGAGAACAGGAAAGAAACTTAATCGTCTGCTGGATTGTCTTCCCTTTTGCAGACTCAGCCAGGGACCAAATTCACTCTGGATGCTTCTGGAGCCATCCTTGAACATTGAGTCCTGCATTTCTGAGCTGTGATCAACCCCAATCCTTCCACCAAAGGTTAGGCTGCAGGCAGGCGCTCCTGTTCCAGGGCGCAGAATCCTTCTAGTGGCACAGCCTTAATCTAGTTAGGGCCTTTGTCATAAGGGGTAATAAGCCTGGACCTCCGACCTGGGTTTGGTCTAAACCTGCCACTTCCTAGCCATGCCGTCTTAATCAGGTCACTTCACTTAGCAAAGACTCGATTTCCTCATTTCCAGGTGAGTGTGTGTATCATTGGCGGGCAGAGAGGTTGAGACTTCAAGTCTTTTGTCCCTGGCTCAATCAGATCTGCTTTTATCTTATATGTATATTAGGTTTCCAAATACGCTTTCATCTGAAGAAAAGACTTTATGACTTTATTTTTTTTAATTATCAAACTAAATGAACTTCAGAGTCTATATCAATTCTAACATTTGCAATTTTTACTTATTTTCTATAAAAATGCAGACAGACTTAAGAGGATAGTAATTCAGTTATCGATACATGCCTAAGCAGAAATTAGCAGTGATAGAACCCAGGTCAGGCCGCAGAGTTCAGGAGGGGTGAAAAAGACAGCAGTATCCCAAAATCTGTGAGGCCCATTTCAGAGTCCAGCCAGCAGATACCATGCTGACAAATATGCAGTACACACACACACACACACACACACACACACACGAGAGAGAGAGAGGTTTCCTAGATCACATTATCTAAAAAGTACATAAATATCTTCCTAATTATATACTGATGTCTTTAGAAATTGCATCACTCCACTTAGATGCTCCCCAGACCAGGGATTGAATCTCATACACAATTTTGGTGTCTTCAATGCCCACTACTGGGCCTGGTTCAATACATGTTTGTTGAAATAAATTTCTCTAGAACCTTTCAGAAACATAGTACACCTGAATGACCTAAGTGTTTAACACTATCACCTGGGAATAATCATAATAATACCAAGTTACTGCTGTAGAGCAATGCACACCTTGAGAAGTGATTTTTAAATCCACATCTCCTTTGACATGCTTTAAAAAAAAATCCCTGTAGGGTAGTCAGGGCAAACATTTGTAACCTCACAATAAAGAAAAGGAAACTGAAACAGAAACAAGTTACAGTGGTCTGCAAAAGATTGCACAATTCCTGCCTTCATTGTACCAGTTCTGATCTCTGTACTCCTCAAGATCAAAAATCCAACAGCTGCAAAAAAAGAAGCTCAAACAACGAAATGACAGAGCACAGAGTAGGAGACTGGCCCTGCCTGCTGCCCCCACCCCTAGACACTTCCTCCTCCCCACACCCCCAAATCGTACTTACCCAAGACCCAGGTCACAGAATGAACATCCTTCCATCATGAATCCCTCTCAGCCCAGTCCTGGGCAAGGAAGGCAGGGTACATATTAATCATGTGCCCAGATGATCCACAGGGTCCAGCTCACTGTAGCTTATACCAAGGCCTTTGGTCTGGTGTCATCTCGTTAACTGGGCAAAGCTTTGCTGCTGTGTGGTTCAGGAGCCCAAGCCTAGAACACTGCTCAGGGTCTCAGGCTGTTGAGCTTCTCCAGCACTTGGGAAGCTTAATATAGCTCCCCAAAGCCAAACTTGGCCTTGGCCTCTGCACACAGCCCAGTTGGCCAGGACCGAAGCTTCCATCTGACCTTTCAACCCCAATCCCTCTGTACAGACATACGGTCCAGGAATAGTGGCCCTGCTACTCACACAGCTCTGAGGATGAATTGACTAGCCAGGCTTGGCTCAATCAGACTTGAGTGTGATTGCTAAAAGCAGCCTTAGAGGGATGGTGCCTTGCCCAGTTCCCACCCACAGGATCTGTCTACCACCTCCCCCTATTTTATTTCTTTTTAGATTCTGTGATTTTTTATTTGAAACTTTCTTGTTTATTCCTTAGGCTTTTGTCTTTCCTGCCTGCTATTGTGTAAGTGCCACGACAGTACAAACTTTGCCTACCTTATTCTGTGCTTATCCCTAAAACTTGGGACAGTATCATTTAGAACTTGATGCATAGTAGGTCCACATAAATAGTTATTGGGATGAATGTCAGTGCCTTTTGCAAAACTGTACTTTAATCCCAAAACTTCAATGTACTTTCTGTCTAACTACCAGATTTTACTGGCCTTGCTGAACTCTGTTCACAGGAAAGAAAGGGAATAAACCAACTTCACACATTATGAAGCATAGGGTATCAACAGCCCGGATGATTACGGTAGGTAGGAGTGGCATAAATGCATGTACACCCCTACTGCTTCCCCATCCCCACTCCTCTGAGCACTTTCACCCTCTCACTGGGGTCAAGGAATAGATACTGAGCCATTTATAGGTCCCTCTCTTTGCTCCCTTCAGGTCTGCCCCTGACAACATACATGCAGCACCCAAGTTCAGTGTATCTGCATAATGTGGCCACCTCTCCCATAAGATTCCTTGGGAGCACTGATTATCCATCTTATAATCCTTGGCACCCAGTAGGAAGATCTTGGGGTCACTGTGCAAGTCAGCATATATCACAGCATTAGGCAAATGCAGAGTTGTGAACACAGGGCTGCAGGCCAGGGGACAGGTCCTCATTGTGGCTCTGTTTTTGACTGGCTGTGTGAGGCTAGACAAGTCACTTGGGCTCCCCAAGTCTTGCTACTTCATTTGTGGAAGAAAGGATTTGGATAGAATGAGTGATCCTCATTTGAGCAGGAGTAGGGCAGTGGGGATCCCCTGTGGGGCTTTTGCTACCTTCGCAAGGGCCAAAATCCGGGATGAGGGAGAAGTGCGTACTCTGAAAAAGGTTCTGCAGGTAAGAACGATAAGATCAGAAACTGGGGTGAAGATAACTGGCCAAATTAGACCCAAGAAAGTAGCTCATTTGGACTGAGGAATGCTTTAAAAGTCTTGGAATTTGAACAGCTTTGAGGGAAAAGGGCAGCTCTCCACAGTCCACACCTGCCCTCATTCACTCACCTGTGTTACCCGACTGGCCCCGGCCCCTGTAATCCCTACACTAGCTGATCTCTCAGGCCGTCTCCAAATTATCTATTCTATGGAGCAACACATTTTTGAAGTCCTTACTGGCTCTATGCTATAACTCCACATGAATTTGCTTTCAGACCCCTAGAGTATGAGGTGTCTCAGAGACTCCAGGCATGATCACTGACGTTCTCCCTCTGGAGTAGCAGAAAATGCCAAAGTAAAAGGAGCCCTGCCTGTTCTTCAAAACTACAAAACTACATTCAAAGGACACTTTGGGACTGTGTTAGTGATCTCCAGAGAAACAGAATCTACAGGGGGAGTGTGTGTGGGGAGGGGGGGGAGTGTTTGTGTGTGTGCGTTTAAAATTTTATTATAAGGGCCGGGTGAGGTGGCTCACGCCTATAATCCCAGCGCTTTGGGAGGCCGAGGCGGGTGGATCACAAGGTCAAGAGATCGAGACCATCCTGGTCAACAAGGTGAAACCCCGTCTCTACTAAAAATACAAAAATTAACTGGGCATGGTGGTGCGTGCCTGTAATCCCAGCTACTCGGGAGGCTGAGGCAGGAGAATTGCTTGAACCCAGGAGGCGGAGGTTGTGGTGAGCCGATATCGCGCCATTGCACTCCAGCCTGGGTAACAAGAGCAAAACTCCGTCTCAAAAAATAAATAAATATATAAAAATATAAAATTTTATTATAAGCAATTGTCTCACATGATTATGGAGGCTGACAAGTCCCAGGATCCACAGGGTGAGTCAGCAAGCTGGAGACCCAAAAAAGCTCATGGCATAGTCCAAAGGCCAGCAGGCTTGAGACCCAGGAAGAGCAAATGCTTCAGTTCAAGTTCAGAGACAAGAAAAAAATAATGTCACAGTTCAAAGGTCATTAGGAAGGAAAGTTTCCTGTTACTCAGAGGACGGTGGGCTTTTTTGTTCTATTCAGATCAACTAATTGGATGATGCCCGCTCACATTAGGGAGGACAAACTCCTTTACTCAGTCTACCTTATTTAAATGTTCATCTCATCCAAAAACACCCTCACAGAAACACCCAGAACAATGTTTAACCAAATATGAGGGCATCCTATGGCCCAGTCAAGTTGACACATAAAGTTAGCCATCATAAGAACCTGCCAGTTCTGCCTCTGGGTGTGCTGGTAGATGAGGCAGCAGAGATCCTGGCTATTACACAGGAAAAGAAGAAGGTGTGGCAGATGGGATTATTGTTCCGAATACTTCACTCCTTCTAATTCTTCATATTCTTTGCATCATGTCTCTGTAGTACCTCCCACTAGCATAGACACAGCCTTCTTCCTTCCCCCATCAATGTTGGAATCAGTCATATGGTTTTCTTAGGCTGATGGAATATCAGTGGGCATGATTTGAGCAGAGACGTCACTGTGCTTTCTGGATTGGGTTTGGACTTTTGCACTTCTATGATACACCATGAGAAAAGCATGCCCCAGGTAGCTGCTGCTCCTTTACAATGGGACATGATGAGCCTGCAGCTGAGCCCACTCATCCACCATCTGAAGCAGAGCCATCTATCCTAGCTTAAAGTAGGCATATGAGTGAGAAGATAAGTGTTTGAGGATTTTTGTTATGCGGCATTATTGCAGCAATAGCCAACCACTACAAGAGGGGAAAGGTGATGACCTTAGTGTGGCATTGCTAGAATGGAGTAAAGACATCTGGCCATCCTATAGGCTCTGCAGAGTAACAACCTAGCATGGACCATGCACATACCTCTTCTCCTCCTTCATGACAGAAGGCACTCGAAATTAACATAGGTAAAATTTCCTTCCCGACTTCCCATAGTCTTAGAGACAGCATGTAACACAGTGTGTCTTGCTCTCAATTTGTTCACTGCCATACCTGCCTATTTCTCCTCTCAGCTGTAAGCTTCTGGAGAGCAATGACCACACCCTGATCGTTTCTGCATTACCTTTAACAAGAGCACATGGCACTTTGGTGACTCAATAAATGCTCATAATTGAATTGACAGGAGTAAAAGGGGTCCACTCTGCTGATGTGAGTTGTCCATAAACAACTCTAGAGATGTTAAAATCACAGCCAGTGTTGAACTACTGAAACCACAAGGGAGGGTCTCTTTTGGTCACAGTCTCCTGGACCATGAGGAGTCGTCAGGTCTTCAGGACTGCTCAGCCTGAGGACACACGCATGAAGACCCTGCCTGAGGGACGTCTGTAGACACCATCCAACCCCTTCAGCAAGCACGCATTATACACATGGTAAGTGCTGGTTCTACTCCAGGAGCAGCCTGGGTGAAACCACGTAAGATGGCTGGAAAGGCCTTGGAAAGGAAGAACACCTACCTGAGAGCTGGGTGGGGCAACCAGGTTGATTCCTGGAGGGGCTGCCAGTGCTCCTGTGGGTGGGCCCATGGCAGAGGTGATGACTCGATATGGAGAGCCCAGGGCATTGAGGGGGGTCCCCACTGCACTCAGAGTCCGTGGGGCACTCACTGGGGTGTCCGTGTAGCTGGAATGGCTGTCCATTGGTTTCCCCGTGGACAAGGCTGCCGACGGGCTCATGGATGTAGAGCCAGTGTGGCCAGGGGAGCCTGTAAGGAAAAAAAGAATATAGGTGGTCAGAGGCTGGGAGGCATGGAAAGGGGCCCTGTGGAGACAGAGGCCCAGCCCCACCTTTCTTTCCTGTTTCCTGCCCCTCCTTTTAGCCTACATGTCTGTGAGCCCTAGCTGCTCTCACCTACACTACCCTGTTGATATAAAGAGAATCGAGGGACAGAGAGGGGAGAGGGCCTGCCCTAGGACAGAAATAAGCATGGATGTTTTAGTTCTCTGGGGCCCAACCTGAATCCAGTCTGGACTATGCCGGATCCACAGCCAGTGGAACAAGGGGCACAGTCCAGAAGCCCTGGCCTGAGTGACTATGGTCTGGCCCAGCCAGCCAGGGAAGGTGAGTTTATACCAAACCTCAGGTGCAGTGAGTGAGTAGGTTCCCAGAATTCCCTGCCTAGAACTCATATTGCTCTGAGAATTGGGGCAAGGCTGAGATTCATTCATTCATTTAAATGCAACAAACATTTATTAGGGTGCCAGGTGCTGGGGATTCAGAGCTGAAGAGCACACAGTCACTGACATCAAGGGAAGGCAGAGGCTGTGTCATACCCCCTGGTTTCCTATATCTATTTAAGCTTTTTGTATGTGATGTTCTTTTCCTGTCCATCTCCATAGCACAGGATTAATTAGCACTCAGGGGAGAAGACTTGGAATGGACTAGGCATGGCTTTATGGCCACAGAGGGCCAGGAAGCACAGGAAGGCAAGTGCAGGCAGGCCTGCTGAGACCATTTCTGTCCCTGAGAATAGAATACTGCACCCACAAATGTCTGTGGAACATGGTCTTGGCGAGGAGGTCATGAGTACCACTTTCTTCCAATAAACTGAGCCCATATTCCCCTATAGTCAAAAGCAAACTCGAGATGAAACAAGAGAGGGGACTCCTGACATCTTGAGAGCCACACGTGGAACATTCTCTCCGCAAGAGAGGAGCTATAAGCTTTAGGAGGTGTGGCAGCAAAGCAGAGACTAGAAAACACCACAGGGCAGCCCACCGTGGATCACATCACTAGATCCCTGTGCAGGTAGCGTGCAAGAACAGATGCGAAGAAGCCCTGTGCACAGTAGCTGCATGCAACGCATCCATGGCACCCATGCCATGGATAGAAAGTGAGATGATTAAGTGCTCAGTAAGCATGGTCTGCTGAAGAAGCTACCCCATTCTAGGAAGCCTACTGTGGGTCAGACACCTTGCCAAACAGATGTGATATGGAGTTGAGGAAGTCATATGCCTGACGTTATGTGGCTCACTATTCATCCAACAAGTACTTCTTGAGGGCCTGCTACATGCAAGGCACTGTCCTAAGCCTTTGGGCAACATCAGTGAGTGCTAAGTGGAGTGTCAGGAGCAGGATGCTGAGGGGAACTTGCTTCATTCAAGTTCTGGAGGAGAGCAGGAAGTGTGAGAAATATAAGTGTGAAACTATTCCTAAACTTAAATATCCCACTGGAAAAAGATGTCAACCTGCAGTTTCTTTTGGAGCTTTTCTAGCTTTGTTAAGGGCTACTTGTGGAAATACGCAGCCCTTAGTGACCCTTGGAGAGTCACTCCAAGGAAGCTGTGACCCTCTTGTCATTTTACCTACGGAGCTTTGGCCTATCAGGGACAACTGCCTCATCGACAGATAAGTCCCAATAACCCATGTCTTAAGTACTACAACCAGGGAGGAAACTGGCTGTGGGCCCACAGGGGAGTGGCAAAGGGGTTAAAATGAATAACTCAAATATTTATTATGTGTCCTCAATAGCATCAGGCAATTTCCGTAACTCTTTATCTTGACCATAAGCATATGAAGTTATTTCAGCCTTTTGCAGATGAGAAACTTGAGGCTCTATCTAACTGCAAACCATTCTCAGTTTCAAGATGACTTACCTCTGCCTCCATTGTCTAGATGCTCTTATTCATCCTTCAAGGTCTAACTCAAGTACCACCTCCTCCAGGAAGCTTTTCCTGGTGTTCCTGGTCTGCTTTGCTGCCCTTTTTTTGTTTTCTAAAACTGTCTGTACTTACTCATATCTTGCATTTGTTATGCTGTATCGCCATATTTGTTTATTCCCCTGTCTTTCCCCTTAACAAAAAGGAAAAAAAACAGGTCCAGTTTTGTTTCTCCATCTCTGTCAGAGTATCTGGCACTGCCCAGGTAGTAACTAGCAAAGCCTCAATTGGAATCATCAATCTGAAACCCCCGCTTTGCTCTGTGTTTGCTGTCAAGGACAGCAGAGATGATTGGAGAGCCATCTGCACCAAGAGTACAAGATGACTCAATTCTGAAGTGATCTCAAGCTGAAAGTTCATCTGAAGGAGAGAAAAGAGGGCAGCACTCAAGAACTAAAGCCAAAAAAACCAAGACTCTTTTCAGATGGCCATTAATTGGAAAGAGCAGTTTTAGACTCTTCCAAGGCCCTGGGGGCTCTGACATTTAACGAGGCTAATGTATACCTTGAGTCGGTTACTAAGATAAAGTGTGACAGGTGAGTTAGGAGCCAGCCCTGATCAATGGATGAGGAGCCATAAGCTCCACTGGGAAGGCAGCTGTCCTTCCCCACGACCAAGCTATCTGAAGGAAACTGACTTTTCCTTTTTGCCCAAAACAGACCAGATGACCCTGCAACTTTCCTTCTTATTCTGCTTTAAACAGATAGAGAGACTGCGCCTTCTATTTCTTTACCCCCAGGGTCAAGAACCAAAGCCTGACACCAGGCCTAGACCAAGGGGACAGACAAGAGCAAGAGTTTGCTTCACACATTCATCAACCCAACAGTTCCAGGGTGCAGACCCTCTGCCGCCAGTGACGGTGGGCATTTTAAGTGATATGTTGACAAACTTTAAAAGATTAATCATTTTGTATTTATGTTTTCTGTTTTCTTTTGCTTCTAGGGAGTGACTGAGCTCACCTTTTCTGTTATAAAATGATCTTCCTAAAGATAGCTATTTAAGCTTTCTTGAAAAGAGTAAATTGATTTTTTAAAAAGTCTAAGTACAGAGGATATATAAAATATCGTGAAAATAGTATGCAAAGAAATGTTGTTTAAGAAACATCAACCTGCACAAAAATATACAAATATGGACTTTGAAGGACTCATGAGTTGTTTCAAAAATAAAATGTGATAGTGATATGAAAGTGATTTGAAATTTAAAGTACATTTTGGTTGTTGTTATTAATAGAACGTGCAGGCAAGTGCACTACTTAGTGCACTCATGAGAATGGTACATTGTTGAGATATAATGAAATAATGAGTTAAAGTTTGGTTCTTAATGGCCTTTAAAATGTGGTTTATTTCTGTTGAGTCAATGACCCGGAAGAGGTGGGCTATTTTATAACTACTTTTTAAAAAATAAAATAGAATTTAAAAAGACAAATACATCTTAGACAAATGCATTTTAGTTCTTTTAGTTCTTTGCCTTTTACAAAGGCCCAGTAGTTCTTAGAAATAAATAGATTTGCTTTTAGACAAGTTGAAAAATAATAACTTTGATGACAAAAGTGTTTCTCAATGGAAAATTAATCTATTCTCCCAAATAGACACTAATGCATACCTGCCCGTGATGTTTTTGTCAGCCTTTCTCACTTCTTTTTTTTTTCACAGCCCCATGGAAACTACAGCAAGTACCAAAAAGCACCACAATTTTCCATATACCTGATTATATCTTATTTCTTTTCCTTCCTCACCTAGCCTTCTGGTTAAGCTCTGAACTAGGTAGAAACTGAAGGTTTCCCTTCAGCATCAGCTGAAAGTAGGCAGGCTCCTGCTTGAAGGATAAATGATGTTTATTGCAAATTGATCCAGGGTAGGCTCTGTCTATCCCTCAACCTAGGGCAAGTCTAGTCCAAATCTGAAGTCAAGGTTTTCTCTAATTTTTCCTTTTGGTTCTTACAATGATTTGGATGCATGTGTCCCTCCAAAATTTGTGTTGGAATTTAAACCATAAGAGAGCAGTAAGAGGTGGGGCCTTTTGGAGGTGAGCAGTCCATGAGGGCTCCACCCTCAAATGGGATTAATGTCCTTATAAAAGGGGACTTCAGAGAACTCTTCCGCTTGAGAGGATGCACCATTTTGTCTGTTTTTCTGTCCCTTCCATCCTGTGAGGCACTATCTTGGAAGCAGAGAGTGGCCCTCACCAGACACTAAACCCCTCGTGCCTTGATCCTGAATTTTCAAGTCTCCAGAACTGTGAGCAATAAATTTCTATTATTTATAAATTACCTAGTTTGAGTTATCTTATAGCACAAGATACCAGCAGGAGAAATGGCCTGATCCAGTCTCTCAGCCCAACTTATACTGTGGCATGACCCCTGGCGCCAGCATCCCATGAAGCTTGCTCCCCGCCTTCCCCTGTGCCCTCTTGATCTTCCAGCCTCCTATGCCAGGCCCACTGCCCAGATGCCTGGAAAATGCACCAAGTCTGTATTCTGCAGAGTTCATTCTCTTTGCTCAGGCAATGATTTTATTACAAAATACCTTATCTGATGAGAAAGCGCTAGTGGAGTTCCTCAAAAGGTTTTCTTCTCTTCTGGCAACATACCCAAGCATAGCATTGCATACTCCTGGGCCTCATTACCCCCGGTAAGGTGGGCACTCAGTGACCTGTAAGATCCCTTCCAGCACTGTTTCATGAGCATTTGGTAGGACATGGATTATTGGCATTGAAAAGAAAGAAGTGCAAGTCTTGGTGGTCTGGAATGGCCTGTGTCTGGACCGGGTGCTGAGGGGCACCTGTCATCATCAACTGGACCATGTTAGGCCTTCAAACCATTCGGCATTCCAATTAAAGGTGCTGAGAGTGTCACCGGGAGCCAAACTGCGACGAGAATCCATACAGAGCATGACTCTGCGATGACTCCGAAAGTCCCTGTGTGCACTGATGGCACTAGGCTTCAGGGCTGCAGGACTAAGGAGGAGATAAGAGCTCCAAAGTCCAAGAGTTCTAGGTTGAACTTGAGGCTCTGCTGGTTTCCAGCTATGTAAATTTGAGCAAGGAA